TTACATGCATGATGTAAGCGCATGACTATGAATTTAGACTGCTGATTATACTCATGCATGACTCAAATTCACAGTTTAGCAATATAATCTCATTTTATTTGCACACTGGTGTAACATGTAGGATATCATAAAAACACGCAACACGTACCTCTCAACTGCAGCTGTGAAGAGAATGAGTTCATCGAGGGTCCCATGAACATCAAAAATATCGTCAATTATGTAGACAAGAGAGATCGATTTTGTGAGTTCAACCCTTTCCTCTGATAAGTTTGGATCTGCAAGGCATGCCATCGGCCAGGTATACCATTTAATTGGCTGGTCTCTCACAAACTTCAACTCCTCAGTCAATCCTAGTGCTTTCCACCACCTAATTAGGATGAAAAATATTGTTATCAATTAAACGGAGTACTAATTCAAAATGAAGTACTTAAATCAGTGTCTTTGATCTGAACTCACTTGGATACTTGTTGAATTTCATTTCGGATTAGAGATTCGACCATGTTGAACTCTAGTTTTCCTAGCTCCTTCAAATCATTGACCCAATTCTCCTTTCCTTCGAAACTAAGCAAGAAGTTTTTAGCCATGAATCTTGTCAAGCTCTTGTGATAAGGATGCTCCAATGAGTACGCGACCGCTGAAGCTCGATGATCATCGAGATTGTTATGCATCCAAGCGGTAAGAAGCTGGTGGCTTCGTCTTCCCTCTTCAACAAGTGCCTCTTCTCCTTGGAAACTCATATGAGAAGCTTCATATAATTCCACTAGTCCGTTTATGTCGACTTTGAATTTCTCATTGTTCTTGAACTTATTAAACACATCTGTTATTCACAAGAAAAATTAATTACTATACTAGCAATGGTGACATTAACTGAAAATATATGCTTCACTTAACTGGTCGTTTTAGTAAAATAACATTTTGCTGTAAAGTTAGCACAAAAAAGAGAATTGAGACCAACCTGTGGTTACATGATAACCTTGCTGTCTCAGTAGTCGAAAACGAAGTGAAACCACACGAAGCTCATCACTGCATTCATCGTTATAAGCTCTCGTACATTGCGTTTTCATTATTGCTTCAATCTCCTCTTGGAAATGATAATCAACGCCGAGGCGTTGCACCGCGTCGACCGCAATCAATTGTTCATCTTCTCCGATATTTGCGAGTGCATCCTTCAATTCCTTCAATTTTTCTGCATAGCGAACCTGAAGGTCGCCCTAAAAGGGGAAACATTGAACTTAATAAGACAACAGATTGAATTAATTACATATTAAGAAAAAAAAAAAAGAGAGAGAAGATACTGTGTGGAGTAAGTAGGGTTAGTTTTGGTACATCTGTGGGTGAACCGTGGAGCAATTTGGATACTTGACATGTATACAGATTACTTAAGGGGAGGGATCCCCATTTTTCTAAAAAAAATGGGAACACGCTCTCCACCATTGGATTTAATTTTAATGAAATTGTGTGGTTGAGATTGTATGGCTTGTGTTTGAATCTTAACCACACAATTTCATTAAAACCAATTTAACGGTGGGGAGCGTGAAAAAATGGGGATCCCTCTCTTTAAGCAATATGTATATGTATATATATATGTGTGTATATATATGTACAAGTTGGGTTATTAGTTTTGGAACTTACAGTAAGTTGTTCGTTGGAGGAAATAGGGTGAGCTTGGAGAAAGTGTGCCATGTTCTACAAGAAAGAAAGAAAGAAGGAAATTCGAGTTCTGTATGAGAGAATATTCTTGTCGGGAGTTAAGTGAGGTGATCAGCTCATGGTGATTCCTAGTCAATTTATAGGACAAATATCCCTTGGCATCCCAGGCAAGATGGCGAAAGCATCCAGAACGCGTTTAACATAACTTTAACGTGGTGGGATCAATATGTATGAGTGGCGCTAAGTACTTGAGCTCGGTCCGTGCCTAATACGCATCGTTTTTCACGATTTTTTTGTTGGGAAAAGAAGGAAGTTGAAGAATCCAAATCACCTTAGTTATAAGGACCAACATAGTTTAGACCGTTTTAAGGATCTGCGTGTATTTGCTGTAAAATTTAGTCAACCACCTTAGTTATATGCTTAACTATTGTGGCTCCCATTTTTAACCGCGCTTTGGGGATGGGGATGTCATCAGATTTTGGTGGGCAAGAATGCATCTAACCTCCCAGTGATATTTCTTTTATCATTCCCCCTGAAATTTCATTGCAATTTTAATTTTACCTTATAAAACTCAAATCTCGCATACTCCTTTTTGAGGGAGTAGCGAAAAAATAATCTTAAAAATTTCATAAACCAAAACCCTATAAAACTCTTCTCATTCTAGCAGAGGATAGCCACATAAACCGAAACCCTATCTACCGCACATTTTGGAGGTGGATTGTCTGTCCTCCTATTTCCATACTCTCTTTATGCCCTCTTATTTGTATGGTCACGGTTAAATCACGTCAACATTTCATATTCTTATTACTTTTTGTTTTATTATTTCTATAAAAAAATTAATATAAAATGTTAACTTGACTTTACTGTAATCTCTCATATCACAAGAGGATATAAAAAGAGTATGAAAATAAAATGGCACACAATCCATCTCCCACATTTTTGGGCTAAAAGCTGACGAAACCTTAATTCAGAAAAACGTGGTCACTCTTCTCATTCTAGCAGAGGATAGCCACATAAACCAAAACCCTATCCACCGCACATTTTTGGGCTAAAAGCTGACGAAACTTAATTAAGAAAAACGTGGTCAGTGGGTTTAGATAATAAATATTATTTTTTTCGTTTTTTTCAATATCTATGTAACTATTTTTTTTTTTAAATCAAGTAAAATCCAACTTAGGAGTGTTCCGGGAGCATGATCCAGTCTATTATGTGTCAAAATATAAGTGGTTATCAAAATATAAGTGGTTGAATACTTGAAAAAACAAATTTATCACTATTTATATTATAACACTTGGTATACTGAACTGGATTCCCGATAATTAAGCAGGTTGTTGTTATTTCTAAGGCATCTGCTACTAGTTAGACTTCATGCAGAACGTAGTATTATGATGCTAATAGATGCGTTGTATATCCTTGAGTTGGGTTAGGCTATCGTTTTCGATTGTGTTTAAATCGGGCTTCAGGCGTCCCCTACAGGATCATCGATGTAACTGCAGTTTTTTCAACCAAAAAAAAATGACTATCATTTTTCAAGCAAAAATAACCAAGTATTGAATAAATATGCCATTTGAAACTGTTCGAACCATTTCATGAGGTTCGAAAAGTATTTTTATTTTAGAGAGATTATATTCACATACCCCAATTTATTTCTTCCACATCTTTTTAATTTTTTAATATTTTCTACACACAACTAATACTTGATAAAAAATATTTAAAAAATTAAAAAAAAATATGAGAGAAGTAATTTGGGATATGTAAATATGAGAGAAGTAATTTGGGATATGTAAATATAATCATTTTTTTTAAACAAAAAATACGTAACCTAATAAAAAATTCTAGCCAGAAACATTACCAAAATATTCTATATGAACTTTAATTAGAAATTTACGGTGCTGCGAAAATTTGCTAAAACAATAAAAAATCAAGTGTTCCTTTTGTAAAAATGAGATGAATTTTTGCGACATCTTTCCCATGAGATTTGTATGAGTTTCAAAAACCGAGTAAACCTCGTCCTCGTGTCGTGAGTGTTAACTCATACCATTTATTGAACGTGTCTGAAATCCTTTCCGTGCGAAACGAGGAAAATGTTACAGGTCATACTATTTATTGAGTCAAATACGTGTATTATTATCAATATTTAAAAAAGTTAACGATGCGGGGATAGTACACGAGAAAACATGAGTTATAGTTCATAGTTTTTTTTTTTTTTGGATTTTTATCATAAATAATCATTGAAATTGATCTATCAAATCAAAATGATATTTTAAATTGAAAATCGATTAATGTAATTTCTGAATATAACTGCTGAAGTGGTCTTTCCGTTAAATTTTCGTCAAAACTTCTCTTAATGGCTGACATGGCACATGTGGGACCTAGTAGAATTAAATATTCCCAGTTACTCCAGCTTGTTCTTGCCAAACCACGTCCACTATTGCGAGGTCCGATTCCTCCCTCCGTCTGCAGCGCAGCTGCTGCCCTGTCCACGACGTCGAGCGCAGTCGTGGTGTCGTTAGGGTCTCCCGAGATAGAGTCAGCACGCTACTCCACTGCACCCTTCCTTCCTCCCTCCCTGGACCCTTCCTCTCTCCCTGTAAATCCAAATCCCTGCACCCTTCCTTCCTCCCTGCAAATCCAAATTCATGCACCCTTCCTCTCTCCTTGCAAATCCAAATCCAAATTCGTGCAAATCCAAACCACCACCATCCAAATTCCTGCAAATCCAAACAACCACTTCCTTTTAAACAAATTTGAAAATTAAAAAAAGAACAGAGGAGATCGAACGATCTACTTCCCCCTCCGACCCAATCCGGTAATCCCTTCCGCACACCACCCTACTCTCCTCATTACTCCCTCTGATTACTCCTACGTTTTTTTTTTTTTTTCTGTCTTTGGAAGAACCAAAACATGCAAGAAACCAACCCATGATTTCGACCTCTCTCTTTCCCTCCTCCTGGTGTCTCAAAGATTGTGTCTTTCTGCAAAACATGGTGGGGAAGATGGTGGCTTGGTGCTTGGGTTGGGTGCTCACAGGTCACAGCCTCTCACGAAGCGTTTTTTTTTTTTTTTTTAATTTATTCATTTGTTATTATTTTCAGAATATAAAATTAATTATTTATCAAAATTTTAATTTATGTGGGACCCTAAGTGTGCCATGTCAGCACATTAACCGAAGTTTTGATGAAAATATAACAGAAGAACAACATTGATTTACAACACTCATATTCAGAAACTACATTAATTGATTTCTAAATTCAAAGACTGTTGATTGAGTATGTCAATTTTCAGGAATCATTTATGATAAAAACCTTTTTTTTTTTTTTTTTTTTTTGATGGAATAAATAAGATGATCCTGCTCGAGCAATTTTATCATGACCTAAAAGATCAGATAAAGCATTCGTCAACCTCACCCTCTTACAACTTCCAGAGATAACTCATACAGAAGGCAAAAAGAAAGAAATTAAGCAGGCAGGAAAGGTGCCTTTACAACACAGACGATACATTTTCGGTTCCTATCCAGTGAGTACAAACTAGCATAACGAAACATGTCTCATGCATCCTGCTTCGTGGCTAATTCTGCGTACCAACAACATTTACAGAGCTATCGAGTTCCATAGCTCGTAAGCAATATAATAACTTCATCTTCTAACTTACCAAGGTGATGGTTTTTATTTTGTTCACTTCGAGGAGGGAGAATTGAGCTTCTTTTCGAGTAGCTTGGCCTTTCGAAGAGCATCCAAGGCCTCAGCTTGTTTTCCAGCACGTTTCAAATTTACCGCCTTTACCTTCTCAGCCTTGATCTGTTCTTCCAGCTGACTTCTATCTTGGATTATGTTATTGTTCTTACCAACATTAACTTTTGAAGGCTCTGGTCTTTCCGGGCCTTGAGATAAATTACTAGCACTTTCAATTCCAATTTCTTTCAAGGCAGCCAGTAGTTGAGGATCAAGAAGCCCCTCAACAGAGACATTATCCACTGATTCTACTTTGTCAACGGTTGTGGAATCATGAGCAGCTGACGCATCCAACTGATTCTCAAGTGCCTTGGCTAATTCAAACTCGGCTTCTGCTTCTTCCATCCGACCCTCCCTACGTAACTTCATAGCCTGACGTTTGTGGCCAAGAGACTCCTGTTGCAACTTGAAGCGATCACGACTGGACAAAGGTTTTGGGTCCGAGGATGGTGAACCGTGATGCTTTTGGCTAGAAGATGGGATGTCTCGTGACACTAATGGTTGGGGTTGGCTCTGCTCGCCAGTTGTATTTTGTGTGGCACTGGACGCCTCACTTGAAGTAGTTTTGGACTGAGGACTGCCTTCATCAAGACGCTTCTCCAATAACTTTGCCTGCTTTAGTTCCTCACGAGCTTCGGTCAGTTTCCCTTCTCTCTTTAAAGCTAATGCTCTCCTCTTGAAACCCAGGATTTCTTGCCGAATGGCACTTTGGTTGCTCTGAGAAGCAGATTCCTGAACCAAAGTTGCTTCATTAACATCTCGCTTATCTTCCTGTTTATCAAATTTATTATTTTGGCTTCCTACATTTATATTCGAACATGTCTGGGATCCCAACTGAACGGGAGGACTGGCAGTAAGCGAATCAACAGAATCAAATTTTAGGCCGTCATCTTGTTTTTCAGCAGGCCTTTGAGAACTTCTCCAGTCATCCCCCGTCAACAAATCCACTAAGTTTCCAGATTGGACAGGTGCAGAAATATGACTAACGCCTTTGGCTGCTCTTTGGTCATCTGGAAAATAATTTTCGCCCGAAGTACCCAATTCCACTGGTAATGGTTGGTTTCCTTTAGCTAACTGTGAGGATAGAGGAACAGACTCAGAATTCCTTGCTGACAACATAACTACTCTGTCAATTGGACCCATTGCCGCCTCAGTAAACCTTCTAACATCTGTATCATGCTTCAAATTCCCTGGCTTTTCAGTGTTAATTAGTAATCCGAAATTCTCAGATTTCTCTTCCCTTGAATCATCATGCAGACTCAAATCCTTTGGGGCTTCCATCTCTTCAATTTGAATCTCTAGCACTTTTGCCATTCTCAAAACTTCCTCAGCTTCTTTGGTTTCTCCCTTCCGTCTAAAGACAAGAGCCTTTCTTTTTAAATCCAGAAGTTCCCTTTGGATTGCACCCTTATTTCTTGGTGCAGAAACGGCTGGCTTGGAAAAGGAAGTTCCCTCTGAGGAAAGTTCTGGGTCCTGCATACTATTTCCCTGTTACATTACCTCCATCTCCTTCCTCCTCAACACTATTAGGAGGAGGTTCAGTGATATCTTCCTTGGGTGCTTCCATCTCCATCATCTGGCCCTCTAGTGCTTTCGCCTTTTTTAGCAGTTCTTCTGCATCCTCGGTCTCTCCCTGGCGCCTCAGAGCAAGAGCTTTCCTTTTCAACCCTAAGAGTTCCCTCTGAATCTCAGCTTTGCTTCTCCTTGATCCTCCAGCTGGGACATTAGCCGGGGCTTGAGGTGCAGAGGGTGCACTGACCTTCATGGAGAGATTATCTGTTTGCTTAGAAGGTTCCAACGACGAGTTGGTCCCTTCATTATCATCATCATTCCAACCCAAATTCTTTAGCATAGAAAGATATGCTGGATCATGCATATCCTGATCTGTTACATTTTCTCCTTCCTCGTCTGCAACTGGCAGACTTTCAGAGACATTGGGAAGCTCATGTGCCAAATCTGGGACTTTATTGCCAACAGTCCCAGGCATTGCCTTCTGTACAGAACCATTCTCTAGCTCTTCAAGCTGCTGTTCAAGAACCCTGCCCTTCTTCAATTCTTCGTCAGCCTCATTTAATCGTCCTTCCCTTCTTAGAGAAAGGGCTTTCTTTTTTAAGCCCAGAAGCTCTTTCTGAATCATTAATTTACTCTTCCTTGCAGGTTTGGAGTCCGTACGTTCCATTGTACTAATATTTCCATCATCCACCATAAATGACTTGGACGACTTATCAGCAGTTTGTTTATGCATTGTCCGCACGATCATTTGCAACATTGCCCTCTTGAGACTCAAGGCTTTCAAGGTCCCTTTCAAGTAGTTTTGCCCTCTTTAGCTGCGCCATTGCCTCTTGAACATTACCAGCCCGTTTATGATTAACCGCCTCTCTTTTTAATGATTGAATTTCGCTTAATAGAGCTTCCCTGTCAACGGCAGCAATCTGGGGAGAAGTTTCCGCATTATTAGAATCTTGAGACCATCCTAAAGATTGTAAAGCAGCAGCTATTTCTGGGTCCTCCATATCCTCATCTGTCACTTCGAAATGACCATCCAGATCATCAGAAGCACTAATAAGATGATCAAAATTAAAGCCATCCTCCTGCTCACACTGAATTGAAAATTCTTCCTGTTTGTCATCATCCATACCACGAATCAACACAGATATCTCATCATCAGATTCTTCAGCCTCAGCCAAGAATTCCTGTTCCTCAAGTTCCTTCTCTAGGACTTTAGCTCTTTTAGTTCCTCCTTAGCTTCTGTAAGTTTCCCCTCACGCTTCAGCATGAGAGCCTTCTTTTTAAGTGCAACAACCTGGGTTTTGTCAATGGCCCTAGTACCTTTGTTTTTATTGGTCTTTTGTAAGACCTCTCCCAAAAGAGAAGAAAGTTCACCATCCAAACTCAGACTTGCTTGCTTTTTGTTTTCATCAAGGAGATCCATATCGGACCATCCTAGTTCTTTAAGCTCAGCAGAAAGATCATCTTTTTCTTTACCCACTGAAGGAGTGACCTTATTTCTTCTTCCAGATTCGGAAGGCCCATCTTTAATCTGGCTCTCCACCACATTAGCAGAGAGTAAAACCTTTCTACGCTCTTTTCTCAAAGATATTTCCAATGCATCAGCCTGCCTCTCAAGCTCCTTCCCTCTCTTAAAGGCTCTTAATGCTTCCGCAGACTTCCCTTCTCCTTTAAGGGCTTTATACTTCTTTTTCTCATCCAAAGCTTGCTGACGCAATTCCTCAGGAGAAGCAGATCCACCACCACTCTGTAAATTAGGCTCATCAACAGAAAGACTTCTATGTATTTCTCCCACCCCCTCGTGGCTGGAATTTTGTTGAATATTTGAACATGATGCACTACTAGCGGCTCTCTGCATACTGGAAACCACATTACTATTTGACTCTTGTCCTAATTCCTTTCTGTCACTACCGAGAATCTCGTCCAAAACTTCATCCTCATGATTTGATGTCAACTTTGAACTGCCTGCACAGAAGGTTATACGTTTGATACACAAGGTAAAATTATAGGGCAGAGTAGTTAAACAAAAAAGCATGTGGCAGAAAGACATAACTAGCACAACCAGTGACTGAACAAAAATGTTCAATGCACAACTGAACTACTGACAACCTTAGAAGAAGTCAAAGATGGTACCTCTCACAGCTCTACTCTTGTGTCCATATCTCTCAAAGCGTGCTGCTTCTTCTAGCTTTTTACAAGGGTCACATATACGCACAGGCGAATCACCTTGCCCACGTAAGAGCATTCTTTGCTGGGTGCAACTGTTGCAAAACAAGCCACCACACCTCCTACAATGATGCTGAAATTCCAAAATGTATATTGTCAAGTACGGGACTGATAAGAGACTACATAAGAAATATTAGATCGAATCATATCAGAACATTAAATAAGATTATCACATCGAATCATATCAGAACACTAAATAAGATTAAGTTTCATAGACAGTCCTCTACTACAGTTTTGTACCACTAGGCAAAGAGACTTATGTGCCTGTTTGCAACTCCTTCAAGAGCGGCAAAACAGCACATTCTGGCAAATCAAAAAGCGGTTCTCACTATGTTTGCGAGAAAAACTTAAATGTAGAAACACCCCTAGGAAGCACTTGGAACTTCGATGCACTTCAAATAAAACCACTTCTAGCAATAGTACTTATGAGCAAAAGTGCTTCCTACAGAAACAATCCTAAAAAGAGTCCTAAGTGTACATCATTAAACCAATTTTTAGCACAACACAAACCGTAAATCCCCATTCCAATCTTTTACTAAACAATCCTGTATCTTTACAACACAAAAATACAATCACCATTCTTTCCAAAACATTGAAAACAGACAGCCTATGATTCCCCACAACGTTCAAAACGGAAGGCCAAGAATCGAAGAATCCCAATCTTGGTCGAATCCACATATAAAACAAAGAAAGCAGCAATCTTTCGGCACCCAAAAATCGAAAACTGAAGAAATACAAAAATTAGTAAAGAATTCACAGATGGCTCATTGGATCGAGAGGGGCAGAAGAAGAAGTGAACCTTGCGATTGATGAAGGTGAACTGAGAGGAACATCCCTGGCAGTGTGAGGCGTCAACCACCCAAGTATTCCCTCTCAGTGACGGCTTCGGCGGCAGCCCGATCTTCTCCAACATCTTTCCGCTCCGATTTTTCCGAATCAATCAATTAATAACCGAAAAACCATTATAAAAAAAAAAATCGAATTTCTCTGAATTTTTTTTTCCCAGCTTTAACTTTCTCACGGATCTTAAGCTTTGATACCCACAAATAATAAATAATTAATCAATCTGATGGGTTTGATGAATCAAGAAGGGAAAGGAAAACTGATTTGACGACGACGACGATGTCACGTTGGGTTAGAAGACGCATCAAAACAGCGTTTGCAACGCGGGTAATCTGACAGCGACAGTTTGAGGCCTCGACGATGACGACGAGGACTCGTTCGGTGGGAGTTGGACAAATTTTTAGTTTTTTTTTATGAAACGACGTCGGAGGAAGAGACTCGGTGCAAATGTAACAGCCCGGTCTTTAGGTCTAATTGGGCTTTCATGAGGCCCATTATAGATTTTTGGTTTACCATTCATTTGAGGCCCATGGTGAGGACACAAAGCCCAGCAACTTATCTAGGTCCACAGAGGGTTTAACACGTGCATTTGTTAATATTATATCTTAGGCCTATTGATCTCAATTATTTTGTCTACTCATATTATAGTCGAAGCGGTGTGGCTATAGCAGCCGCCAGGTGGAAGCGAAGGTGGCAGAATTAGTTGACTGGTATTGTATTGTCCCCTAAGAAGTGGGAGAGGAGGTGGTGGCACTGTGGCGGGTGGAGGTGGTGGGTTTGTTCCATGGAAAAGAGTATTTGGACTTAGGAGACTAGGAGACTATGAGTGCAAAATACTCAAAGTTCTATATATGTTAGACACTAGTTGGACAGTAGGTTAGGATCTTGTGCTTAGGCGAGGTCTAAGAAGATTTATATAAGTTTATTATCATATCGGATAAATAAGTGTCTATTTAGATTACAAAAAAATAAAAATTAAAATAAAATAAAAAAAACCTATACTTGTATTGGGAATAAAATAAGGATGAAATGCACTAAAGCCAATAAGCTTAGTAAGCAAATTAGCAAATTACAAATATAAGAACAGTTTTCACAACTGAATTAATTTAACAAATTCTGTATGTTACGCGTTGGAACATCTCTAAAGGAGATGTCAAATATGCCAAATAGGATTAAAAGACATTTAGGTGTTCTCCAATAGATATGTCATTTGACTCCTTACTTTATAGCTGCCTTTTTTTACAGCAAACAAAGAAAGAGTCAAATATATTTAATTGAATTTTTTAATACATGGATCCCATTAACAAACAATAGAATAAAAATTACAACTAATTTTGATTATTTTTTAATAGTTAATGTAACTCTAAGCCCAATAAAATAATAAAATAAATATTTGACATATTGGAAAATAAGAGAATTTAGCACTTGTATTCAATTTGCCACATCAGCCATCAAATAAAATTTTGACATATTATATTTGACATCTCCTTTGGAGATGCTCTTACCCACTTTAATTTAATTAGTGAATAAAAACAACTTGAAACGGCCTAGCATGCCACCTAGACCGTCTAGTCGCTCCTCAATTTTAGTGACCATTTTGCACAAAACGCAACGAAACTCCACCTTGCAGCGTTTAGCACCGCCTAAGCAGCCGCTTAGGCCGATTTAAAACTAAAAAAATGCTATAAGAAAAGCTAGACAATGTAAATTTGAAAACATACAAAACTACATGATCTCCTCAAAGTAAAAGCTTCTTGGCTTAAGCATTCATTAAATGCACACTTCATCCAACAAGTTGGAAGACTACAACACTAATCTCACATTAATCAAAAATGTTTTTTGTTTCTGGCTCTCCAAAAACAAAGATGCAGTGATCGTCTCAAAAATGTTGGTCCTTGGAGTTCTTACTTGATTCAAAAAAGCACCAGTTTTCTTGGTTGCAAGGCCTGCATTTATATGGCTCACGCAACCCCATTCCATTTTTCCTACTTTTTTACCGCTATGACTGGCTGAGGAGAAGACGTTGTTAATCATTGACTAATAAAGTGATTAGAAAACTAATTTGCTGCCTTTTCCATAAACAAATAGTCATGGTAAAAAATGCTTTGGTTTCAACCACCATAAAGTGGTCTAGTGGTTAAGACGAATTCTAGATCTGTATTCAACACGGTTGGTCTTAAGTTCGATTCATTAGTCTCGCAAAAATGAATTATCGTGACTTCATTATCTGTTGGTCCCCTTTTAATTTTTTTTTTTAAAATGCTTTGGTTTCTACAACCTCAGTTACTTGTCTCTACGAGTATAATAGAATGGTTTATGGTTGTAAAGTTGGGTTAATGAGCCCCCCAACATCCGTTCCCTTGCTAAATTGTTCGCTGATTCCGCGCTTTTGCTACGACTAGACTCTGATTCCGCGCTTTTGCTACGACTAGACTCGAAATTTAATGATAAAAAATAAGCACAGTAACCAATACTATTAATTCAATCAACAGTCATGTCATATGATTTACAAATTTAATTTTGACTATTACCCTTGTCCAACAAGCTATTGTTATGCCCTTTGAATCATGGGATATTTTAATGTGTTAAAAAGTTCAACACATGCCAAACTCTTGGAACTTTTAGAAGAAGCTGAAGAATTTGCATAATTTTGCTTTGACTTTGAATAAACCTTTTTAGCTATTTGGTACTTTTGGAAGAAGCTGAAGAATTTACATAATTTTGCTTTGACATAAACCCTTTTTGCCAGAGTATATATACAGTAGAAATTAAAAAAAAATGTTATTGGTACTTCAAAGTTCTCATTGTGTACTCCAATTTTTCTATATTTAGGAAAAAAAAAATACTTTTGTGAAGAGAACAATGAGATTTTTGAAGTAACAATAACAATTTAAAAAAAAAAAATTGTTGTTAGCACTCTAAAATAGTCGTCAACACTCTTACCTTCTTTGTTTTTAGAAGAAGATATAACGCATAATGGGTATTTGGAATGCCAATAACAGATTCCATAAAAACAACTAAAGTTTTCGACTTGCATTATGGAAAGAGTGTAGGCAAGTATCGAGTACTTCCCCTAAAGGACAATCTTAAGTTCAATGCACCAGTCATCTTCATCTCCATCGTGCCACAAACGCCGAACTCCGATGCCTTCCATTGCATGCTCTGCAAATCTGCTCTACGCTTCCGAGTCTCTGTTGGGAGATCGAGTTTCTTCGTGGAAAATGGAATCATCTGCTCACTCTCCTCTTTCTCGTCCCTAATTTCTTTACCTGCGTCAATGAACAAGGAGTCTAAAGTCTTGAGATTGTAAGCTTCATGAAATAAGCTTCGGAGTTTTAATTGCTCCGTAGCGAAAGCTTCAACTGCTTTTCTTGGAGGAAACTTCGAATTTTGAGCGAGATGTTTTAAAGTTTCCGTTGAGAGCCTTTCGTAGTTCAGTGCACAACAGATACTCATCTTCTCCTCCCTGAACAAATCAGCACGACGCTGCATAGAATACTAAATCAGTACTCGATTTCGCAATATTAAAACAATGCAGATCATGCTTCATGCATTTTTTTTTTTTTTTAAAGTAGCATACCTTAAAATATGCATCAATTGCTTGGTAAAGTCTGTCGTGAGATTCTCGTGCAGAATGTGGCAGCATCGTGGCTAATGCTTCGAATTTTGAAGGATTCAGGTGAGAATCTGGTGCTACTTCTGCAAGGTATGAATCCATCAACTTCGCGACACTTTTTAAGCGACTTTGAGATACACGGTCTCCCCCTTCAAGTAGAAATGACTTCACTAACTTCAAAACCAAACTCACATCGTATACATACTTCTTGGTGCGCGGAGATGGAACGAGTAGAAAATCAATTGTTGCTTGATCCAGCTGACAACCTATCAAGTTCACTAACTTGTTTACAGACTTTTTGCTAACTCTCAGGCACATAGCCGCTTGGTATATCTTGAATAAGCCTTTGACAGAAAGAAAGCTTCGGTCTAGCAGAAAAAGCAGACCGATAACTACTTCTGTGATTTTACGCTTCTCACCTCGCGTGGCACCGATAGACTTAGATTGGTGATAATGGAAGAGAAACTTGAAAATTGTGGTATGGTCGAGCTCCTGGAATATCATCCTTCTTACCACCTTCTCGAGTAAATCGGTGTTCAAGAACATAAGGTCTTCCACCCACCATGTTTTTCTTGAGCAGTCAGTTTTCGGACTATAACTGCTCCTTCCACTTGAAAACCGAAAACTTAAATCTTCTGACGAAGAAGCATAAGTGCTTGTAACATACGGCGAAAAAAGCTTGGCTATGATGGAGTCTAGGAGCTTGTGCAATACTGACGATAAATTTAAGGCGGGAAGTAAATCTTGGCATTGCTTTAGAGCTACCACAAGGTTAGACCATGTCCAAAAGCTGATCCCTTCAAGAGATTTTTCGGTTTGAGACAGTATGTTCGGTCTTCCAGAGCCATCACCATCGCCTCCCATCTCCATGAAATGCGCGACGCAGAACAGTAGGACAATGTTCGAGGGAGTTATCTCAATTCTTCCATTGTTGTAACAAAACCTTGCCATGAGCTCAAAACCCTCTGCGCCTCCAGGAAAGTCATGGAATATCACTTTTAGGCACCTCGACGCTCCAGTCAGTTTACCAAACAATTTTCTAAATCTACCAGAGTAAGACGCCAATGTTTTCTGCAAACGTGTACACGAATTCAGAGAAAATTTTATCAGAATATCAAGTTGTTGCAAACTAGTGTCTCTCTCGAAAAGAGACAAGAGAGAGAATAGTAAGGGAAAGACAAGAAACGCATGCATACTATCATTTCTTCATTAATGAACAAGACAAGAAAACTTTGTCAGATATTTCGAGAACAAAAACTGATGGAACCCAGAAGAACATTTTGTGAGAGGTCGTTCGCTGTCGAGATTTAAATTTTTGGGTGGTCCTATAGACGATGCGATTCAATGGCGGAAATTAGAAATATCCGTTTCACGAGGCCTGCATGACTACTACCCGGGTGAAAATTATTGAGGATAAAATGAATGGAAACAAGATAACGAAGCGTGACAGGCGTGACGATATGAATACTACTCGACAAAATTTAAGAACATGTTGCAAAGGAGGAGAAAAATAGGATTGATAAAACTAAAACAGCAAAATTACCAACAAAAAATGAAGAACTGAAAGTAGTTACAAAATCTCGATTGTCTTCGTTCACAAACTTGAGCAGATATGAATGATTACGGAGCAAACAGCCGGAGAAAAGAAGATTTACCTTGTCCACCATGAAAACTTCTTCGCCATTGACGTCTACTTGAAGATCGCAGCAACCTCCCATTTTTCAGAAACACACAGGAAAATGAGAATCTTGACTCAAAGCATTACATATGGAGTCTGGGAAACATTTCACTCTTCAGATTGACCCAAAAAATAGAATAGTTGAAAGTGCTGGGTTTGAAGCTGCTGTTTTTTTTGGCACATGACATCAATGATCATAGAGAAGTGAAAAGACAATGGAGGGAATAATAAGAAGCAAGAGAATCTTCCAAGAAAACGAATAATTATCCACCTTTGTCCACTGTTTCGATCTCTCCTGAGACAAGCGAGATAAACACAATAATATATATATATATATATATATATATATATATATTTAAATATCAGTTACAAGGTAAATTTTCTTCTGTATATTTTCCGCACCTAATAAGCGAGATAAATATAATAAAATATACAACCAGTTACAAGATATATTTTCTCAAACTAAGCATACTTTTTAATAAGTAAAGCAGTAGAAGTTTATGATCCAAAGTCTGATTATTTTATTCTCCGTGACTCATGCAGCTAATTTCGTCACTGTTCTTGTCCTACGCCCTTTTCTTTTTCTACCCTAAATCGCCATCAATTCTCTCTTTTAGTGGATGCTGGGAGCCCACAAAACAAATTCGGGCAAGTGAAGACTTGGTCTCTGGTCAAAAACGATGTTCTCAGCTGTTATTTCAGACAACTTGGAAGGTTAAACCAAGAGAATGCAACGTAAATCAACTTTTTAATCACTTGACGAGCGAGATTGAGACAAGTGTGTATACAAAAAGAGATATCGCAGATTGTCTCCGAGTGTAAAGCTAACAGTTAACGAGTTCTTTGATGTCGATTTTTACTTTAAATCGGGACTACAATCAGGAGAAGAACATGCTTAACAGAGTAACTTTCTGAAAATTATCAAACTAACGAGAGTCGATGAACACTTCTCCGAACCCTTTTTAGGGGAAAAGGAAGGGAAGGAATGAAATTAAAAGAACACTCCTTAAACCAAGAATCCGTATCGTAAACTCTTGCTACAACTGGCCTCGTAGGCAACAGAACACTCTTTTTCCACTTAAGGGGAGGAAAATACAGTTCTACAATGGTGCCATCGGAACCACGAAAATGAAAAGACAAATAGAGAACACAATGAGATGAGTTGTAGGGATAAGACACCTCTCGGGCTAGATGATTGCAACCAATTTTGTATGGCAATAACTATTCTCAGGAAACTGGAACAATTCTGGTGAACGCAGGGACTCACAAGCGTATGTGGCTTGGTCGGCCTGCTTGTTGTCCCAGCTACTTGAAACAAGCAAGTTCGCCAGCAAAACTCTGAATCTCTATACCACGAAGTGATGTCGAAATGGGAGCAGGAAACACTCGAGCATTTAGTAACCATTTATCTGAGGCCTTGGAGTTGGGCCCATCAGCCGAGAAAAAGGCTGGGCGCGGCCAGGAATGCCCCTTTGGCCGGCAAATCGATCAGCTAATTTTGGATCGGAGACTGATCTGGAAAATGCTTGGGCAAGCTCAAGGGCTGAAGCCGCTTTCCCATGCATCAGGCCAACAGCATCAGGGGAAGATGGTGTTGGCTGTTCAGGCTTCCGCCAGGTCTCTGGTGATGGCGGCCTCTCTGACTGTTGCTGCGGTCTCTCAGGCTCTCTATTGTTCCTCCTACTGTCATTACGCCAGTTCTTCTTCTGCATATCGATTTTCTCAACATCTACCCGATTATCCCTCCTATCAAATTTCTTTCCAGTCCTCTGATCAAAAGGATGATGCTCAGCTTTCTCACTGTGGCGAGAAGGATTTGCGTGCACAGTAACTCTATCAGGCCTGGTAACTTGATGTTCAACCCTTCAAACAACAGTTATTTTTGTTCGTAAGTAAAAATACCCAAATTTCCAAACTTATATAACAGAAAATTTCTGAGATAGAGAATAAGTCACTACTTGTCAGAATGCTGAGCTGTGTCAGGATTGTTGATCACATCATCAACCCCTCGCTCCTTCAATACCTGATATACGGACAGAAAAAGGTTTCAGGAATGGGACACGAAACCACCACCAGCATTAAATCAAGACAATAGTACTATTAGGCAATGGTCATGACCAAATGGAACTGAAATATCAAATCTTGGATTAAAAACTCACCAGTTCTCGTGGGCGAGCACCACCAAATAATGCAACTCTGCATCAATCACGGATTTCATTTTATGTTACTTGCAAGTATCAATGTATAGACCCAATATTAAGAACAACAAGCGCATATTCTATTGCAAACGCCACCAAGAAGTAAGAGTGGAAGGGTAATGTTTCTGTCATGCTACAAATGCAATCGATGCTTCTCTAATAGCTGCTGGACTCCAAACCCAAATTGCATAAGCAGAATAGTGCGAGAGGAGGTGGGTTCGGGGATAGTAGATTTAGGTTCAAATATTCATGTAACCATAAAACAAAACAGAATTACTAGATTCTGAGAGCAACAATTGTGCACATCTTCATCTAGAAGTCAGGAAAATAAAACATATATAAGAGACAATATTGACTTCATTGCAAATTCTGTGGAACAAAAGTGGAAAACAAGATTTTAAATTTTTCCCTAAATAAAAATATATACACAACACAGTTAAAACATTACTTATGCTGTATCCAGAAAATGTACGTAACATAACCAACCCATGGGATTGTTTCAATGGCCTAAAGAGTTCTAAAAAGCAATAATTATGGCCTCAAATCAAGCCAACCTTTTTTGGAGCAACAACCGCGAAAATATATTCACTTCTATGAAGCAAAAGTGTAATCAAAGTAGAGTATATGATATCTAGTGGTTAACTAAACAAGCAAATTGAAACAATTTTACTTTTTATACTGTGCCAAGAATTTCATTTAGTTTTTAATTGTTGGGCTAAATATCATAATTTCCATAGAACAGAACCAGAAAGGGGCCAAAGGCCCTACGCCTACAACAAGCAAAACAACGGCAAAAGGACCAGAAATACGACCCAAAGTCGAGAAAGTCTCAAAACTATCCAACTCTTCCAAAATATGCTCAAATTTCAGACGACGACGAATTGAACCTAACCAAGCTCCCAGACCTCAAACCAAATTCCCAGCCCAAAATTAACAACTAAAACCTTTTGAATTAACATAGTGATACAACATACAAAAATTGCCATGAAGCCTCCAATTATTTTGAGCAGATAAATTTTTGAATTGTTATGGAGAAAAGATCTCTACTTTTTCACACATATTCAAGCCACTGCATTCATCCTCTAAATTTTTTTTTTTTTTTTTTAGCAAGAAAAGAGATAGACTAGAAAGGAAACCACAATCAAAACCATTGCATACCTGTCTCTTTTGGCATTTAGTTCCAAGTGTTCAGGAGGCTGAGATCGGGGCTTTAAATTCAATTTTAGATGGTCCACTGCCAGTTTGCCACCATCAGAGCCTGCTGACTCTGGTTTTGGAGCATTCATATATCCATACGCTTCATTGACAGTTTCCACCTGGACGGACTCAGTCACCCTCTGGGACTCCTATAATCAACCAAACAATGAGAATTTAGTGCATTCAGTGCAAGGTGGAACCCCATAGACCCAAGAATCTCTATAACACACTTTGACAACCATGTCAATACCTGTGCATTAACAACTGGAGCTTCCAAACCCTCCAGTGGCTTTGTTCTTGGAAGTAACTTCAACTTGGGTCGCTCTACAGGTTCTGAAGACGCTGCGGCCTGCACGTCAGCCAGGCCAAATTTTCCATCAGATGGAGCAGGTTGAACCCTGTTGTTATAAACAGTTGGCCTCCTTTCTCTAAGATCTGAATTAATCGGAGCCCTAGAACTCTCGTAAACAGGTAGCTGAACACCATCATGAATTTGAAGACCCCTTTCTGCGTGTCTTGCCATGGCTGCATCATAATATTCCTTTTCAACAATCGCATCTGGCCTCTTGTAAGTATCACTACCAGAACTCTTGGAATGCAATCCACTCTCTGTTTCGGGAGATCTAACAACCTCGATATTTGTCTGATAATTGATTAAAGGCTTTGATTGCCATCTACCCGAGGACACCTTATCGAGTGCACTGGCATGGGCCAACTTTTGAACAGCACTTTGTCCAGACCCAGAAGATTGCACCGGCTCAGATATACCCGCCATCTCCTTCCTCATTGTCCATGCATTTGGATAAGGCCCACCAACACCACGCCCGCCATTGCCACCTGAGCTCTGCGAATTACCTCCAACATGAGCTGTCTCGCTAACCCTCTCTGAGTAAGAACTCACGGCCACCCTCGGTGATTTCGGTGCTGAAGCCCGCCCCTGCATGCCGGATGACACCCCTGCAGATACAAACGCCTGCTTGGGCTCGGCACGGGTCAGGGGAACCCGAATGCTATCATCGCTGATGGTCCGGCGTGGCATCGACCCACCATCGAGTGGCTTGCGCTCGTCCTCATCAAAGTTCCGGCCAATGTGCACGGGGTGAGTGAGAAACGGAGTCTTGTCATCGAAATGCCTCGTGGCTGGAGACGTGTGGGGTCGAGAACGATGGTCGGCCCGCCCCGTAGGATTTCCCCACGCGGTGGGTCGGTCGTAAGTTGAACGATCTGTAGGCCTAACAACTCTGCAGATCAAAAAAATCCAAAATTGGTGCGAAAATCAACTAGGGTTTTTCAATCCATCGCTCGAAAATCAAAGCAATTACAAAACCCAGATCCAAAAATCGGAGATTTACAGATATGAATCAAAAGCAATAAGCTTTTTCAATTCCATAATTTCCGATAAAACAAAATATATAAAAATCAGGGAAAAGGGTAAACAGGACTTACACCCCAGGAGCAGAAGGGAGAGGGAGATCAGAGGGAATCGAACCGCCATGGAAGTCCTTGAGCGTCATGGTATTCCCACTTACTTTCTTCTTCGACATCTTTCTCTCCCCCTCCTCTCTCTCTACTTTCTCTCTCAAGATCTTCCCTTTGATTCAATTTGTAGATTTTGATAGGGAGATTGGGATTGACGAGGACAGAGATTGGATTGGAGGAGAAGAAGCAGAGGGAAAAAGCTTGGGAACCTTGAAATCGCCTCTCTGCTTCTCTCGGAACAACTATTTCACCACTTGCGTTCTTTCCCGTCCGTAGTGCTCATTGGGCTCACTATTTGATGATGATAGTGTCTTTCCCCTGATGCTGGTCCTGGCCGTCCGATCATTGACCGACCTATGCAATCTACTATAAGATATTCCCTCTTTTTTTTTTTTTTTTCCCTCAAAATGTTTTTAAAATGTATAAATAGCAAATTATATTTAAATATACAAACAAGACAACAAAACTAATGAAGTTGGAGAGATGTTAAAGTTGTAAACAGTTAACATTGGTTGGGCCCGTCATGGCCCGAGCATGCGGCGATGCTCATAATGTTATACTTATCATCTAATTGTACTATTAATTACATCATTTTGTAATAAAGGTTGACTCTACTAATATATATGGGTCTCATCTCTATTAAAGATGGTACAATTAGATAGTAAGAATAGCATTTTTGTTGTAAACATGCATTTTAAAATTAATGTGACTTAATATTAGTTATATTTATCTTAATAACATGGTCAAATAAGTTTTTTCAAATTTAAAATAATTAAAGTTTGTTTTGCTTAAGTTGGTCTGTTCAGTGACCCAGCCCATCACAGCTCAGGTTTTTATAGGCCAGGATCACGAGCGGGATTGGCCTTAATGTTCTATTAAGTGAGTTACCCCAAATACAATTCGTTTATTAAGTGAGCCAATCCTAACACTGCTCAAGCCCACGTGGCCTGTTTGGCACCTCTAATCCCCACATGGAAGAATGCAAGTATTATTCTATATAAATTAGGTAAGTTAGTTTTGTTTGCATATCGTCTCTTTGCACTCAATTTTGATCCTCCTCCTCATATCTTGAATATCAATTTGTTAAAAGTATTTTGCTTGGTTAGATCTAGTCCTTGGATTTTAGTCAGAAAAATTAATTATGCTGAATTCTAATTGGAGAAAAAAAAATTCAGAAGATAAAGTCATATTTCCAGTAAATTAAATTATAGCCAAAATTCTTAAATCCTAGCCCCTTGCGATTTGCATGTATGCAAAACTTTGAGAATGCTCTTCAAGCATGGTATTTAATATAAAATGAAAAGAATGCCTCCATCAACTAGATTTTTATGAGAATATCTCCGTTTATATGGTATTCATCCAAAAGCAGAATAAATTAAAATCACAATCCACATCCCATGAACATGATTTTTAGTCCTTTTGCGGTGTGTTTATATAATTAAGAGTATTTTGTTAAAGCGATTATGAACATGTTTAGCAGAAAAAAAAAAAAAGTTAAAAGTGTTTTAAGATGAAGCACATTAAATTTTTTTTTTCAAAAAGTTCTTGCATTTTTCTTAATTATATATAGATAATGCGCTCAGTAACAATGTGATTGTCGCTCCCAAAAATTTAAATAATGTGGTTAATTAGTAAATGTGATAATAATAATTAGATTCTAATTTAAATAGATTTGCAATCTATTAGAGAGCCATTCACAATCAGACACCAAACTTACCCCTTCTGGGTTTTACCCTCGATGTCCACCATTAAACGACCACACATTCTTCCTCTTTAAAACGACGTCAAAAAATTAAAAACTTGCTGAGCTTTCGTCTTCGTACTCCAGCCACTCACTCACCCACCGGCACGCCGTGGTTTTGCGGGTCGTTTGATCAAACAATGGAGTCGAAGTCGATCACGTGGGATTTGGTGATCGGCATTGCGACGGGGTTCGCATTGGGATTGTTGGTGGGAATGGTCGCGCTCTGCTGCGCCAGAATCCGTCGGAGGAGGTGTAGGCGGATACAATCACAGAAGTCCATTTCGGCCCAGAAAGACACGGCGGCAGCCGCAGTCGCAGGCAAAGGAGTGAGTAACGGTGGCGCTGACTCCTCCAGCAGCACCCCCACCGTCTCCGAGCTCTCGAAGTTCGGACAGGACTCCCCCAGGAATTCGGAGTGGAACAACATGCCCATGTGGCTGGAGGGACTCCGGCGGAAGAGCCTCGTGTCCGCTTGCGGTATTCCCAAGTATTCTTTTAGGTATGTATGTTTGTAAACACGTATATTCTGTATGTATTCTGAATTTTTGTATGTCTGGTTATTTACGGAAGTGGGTCCTGAATTTGCACGCATGTTTCACTTTGGTCCTTCAATTAAGTTTTTCTTTATAATTTATTTTAAGAGTACACTCCAATTGTGTCACGTGTCTCAACACTAAGCTTACACGTCGGAAATGGCTACTAGCACAACGAGGTGGTGCCTTACTTCACTGCGAGAGATTTTTCAATGTGATCGTCACACGAGGTGGTACACGTTCCTATATAAATGGTGAGTTATGTGTGTTAAAAGGTTAATAACTTAAAAACTAAAATTTTCCACTGCTCACATAAAAACATATGGTATATCATTCGTGTTCTCATCACAACTAAAAATTTCTCCTGCACCAGGCAAACGCATGGTAGCCAATTTGCTGCGTCGTGATTAATAACATCTCAATCAGTATAAGTGTTTGCATTCAAAATAGCCCTATGTGAGGCAATTATAAACCATAGAATTTGATGGACATTATTCAACATGTACAAATATGAGAAAAATATGTCATAATAATTTAGTATTGCACTCGTCATCTATGAGATTTGAACTTAATTACTTATAAGCAGAGAAGAACATAATTAGACCGAAATATTTAGTGGTTCTAAACCATGAGCTGGACCGATTACACTCCCCTCCCCAAGTTGATCTACATTTTCATCCTTCGCCAATTGCTTATTTATATGATTTCCGACTTTTTTTTAGTACCTAACAAGTAACTGAATCGAAAAACCAACGTGAAACATGAGTATAAATTCAGAAGCCAATCTCACAATTTACCTTTTATTTGTGGAAAATTATTTATCAGATTTTTTTGTTTGTTTTGGCAGAGATATACAAGAGGCAACTTCTAACTTCACAACAACGATTGGGCAAGGAGCTTTTGGACCGGTTTACAAAGCCCAAATGAGCACTGGTGACACTTTTGCCGTCAAAGTTCTTGCTTCAAATTCCACCCAAGGCCAGAGCGAGTTTTTGACTGAGGTAAATTCATACATTCATAACACCAAGATATTGATGGGATGCATTGGTGCAAGATGCATCGGTGTTTGAATGGTTATATTAAGCCGTTAAAATCCAACTATGTAAATCTAGCAGTCAAATATATCGGCGTATCCATACTTCGATTAATTGCATTGTAAAATCTTCTAACATTCATTACGCATGTGCACACATGTGCGTTCAGGTTCTGTTGCTTGGAAGACTACACCACAAGAACCTTGTCAACTTGGTCGGATATATTGCAGAAGTTGAGCAACATATGCTTCTTTATAAGTACATGAGCAACGGCAGTCTGTTTTCTCATTTGCATGGTAACAACTCTCACAAAACCCTAGATTTTCCATCCCGTAACGCACCGGTTTATTTGATTTCCTAACACGAATAGACACATCCTTTATCGTTTAGAGCCTCTTGAATAATTTCAAGAAATATGCCCAAGTATAACCGATTACTAACCGCAAATAGAAAATAAAAACCGATGGGACACTAAACACGCGGTAACTGTACATAAACCAGAGTTTAGTGCTCACTTGGTTTAGTATCGATCCTTCACCTTCAAGTCATAATTTTAATTAAAAGTTCATAACCGGCTCTATTTGTTCATATCTCGGTTTAAGATTCATCTGTTTGGAAATGCAGATGAGAATCAGAAGCCATTGAGCTGGGATTTGAGAGTTGACATAGCTCTTGACATTGCAAGGGGATTGGAATACCTGCATTATGGGGTTTGCTTTTCATATCAGTTTCCTGCAAATCAACACCACTGATTTGGAACTGCCTACTTAAGTACTTATCCATCTCCATTCTCCTTCTTATTACAGGCCGTTCCTCCCGTTGTGCATCGCGACATCAAGTCTTCGAACATACTGCTTGATCGGTTGATGAGGGCTAGGGTATGTGACTCGCGCAGAACGTTTTTGGTTTCTGAAATCTCTCCTGTTTTTGGAAGTGTGCCGATGAGGTTAATCACTCTTAACAATTAAACAGGTTGCTGATTTCGGGCTTTCAAGACAAGAAAATAACGAAACTCGTTCGTCAAATATCAGGGGGACATTGGGATATGTCGATCCTGAGTATGTGTTGACGAAGATGTATACGAAGAAATGCGATGTTTATAGTTTTGGAGTGCTGCTCTTTGAACTTATTACGGGCAGGAATCCGCAGCAAGGTCTCATGGAATATGTGGAACTTGTAAGAATTCTCTCTCCTTTTCAAAAACTATAAGTAACGATATAAGATTCGCATTGTATGACTATTCATGCCGATTTCTAGGCTGCTATTGACACGGAGGATAAACTGCGGTGGCAAGAGATTGTGGATCCCCGCCTTGATGGAAATTTCAACGCAGAACAACTCTCTAACGTTTCTGACCTTGCGTACAAATGCGTGATTAGTGTCTCCAGGAACCGGCCTTCGATGAGGGACACTGTACAGACATTATCGTTGATTTTGACGAAGAGGCATAACACGGGGAACTACACGCATTGCTCAACTCCTGCAACCGAAGAAACTTTCATTGAAATAGATCTGCTGGAGAATGAAGATGTTTTGATTGAACGTTGAGGGGGACAAGTTGTTACCAAACTCATAACCTCAAGTCTTAAAATTGTACATCGAACTTGTTCATGCTTATTCTTCTTTGTCTTTTATTTTCTTTTCGCTTTCAATCTGCTTACTTTGTGATTTTAATTTTCGTTGTTAATTACTTTGAGATTTTGTTTTCCTTTCGAAGAACAATCCTGTAGAATAACTTTATCATTCCACGTAAGTAAACATGTCGTAATTACTCAGTGGGAGCACCTTTTCCATAGAAAAGGATTGAAAAAGGAAAACACAAGTTTGCCAGTATAAAGGGAACCACATGTATTTGATACATCATCATCTCGATGGTCAGAGATGATAATTGTACACCATTCTTGTGGTTTAGCAGAAAAGCAAGCATCTAATTCTCATCAGAAAGCAACAAGAAGCCGCAGTTACTTTGTTGTCGCTGCTCGATTTTATTACCATTTACCGAACTCAGAAAATTAAGATGCTTTTTAACAAGATAACAAAAAACATATGGTAAGCCAGACGATAGATAGATAGATAGCTAGCTAGATACATGCCGATTAGACACATGTTGTGATCCATATAACAGGAGGATCATGAGCCAGTGAGACTCAGTTTTTCTAGTTATGCAGCAACCCCTTGGCCTTGAAGTACTCCACAGTTTGGTCATATATTTCTTCGATGCCATACTTAAAAACGAACCCCTCCTTGATAAGCTTCTCCGAAGAGATGATCAATTTGGCCTTGGACGGAAAATCTCCAAACCTGCAATTGCAATGGAGAATAAGAAAACCATCCAAAATTGTACACTAGCTAGTTGAGCTGGTGGTCTAAACCCTTTGAACAATCAATGCAACTTCCCAACTTTAAGTTCCAAACCTTAATCTGAATCTTCTTGGTAGAAGTACTAGTACTTAAAACTATGAAACAAAAAAAACTCGGGGTAGATAAATCTAAACACTACTCATCATCAAAAACAGGAATTAAGAAATCTAGGTTTTCGAATACTAGGATTACGGGCTTACTCAGTGGGGACTTTGTACTGGGGGTATCTTTTGTTGAGGAACTGAGCAAGCTCAGGAACGCTGGTGTTGGCAGCACAGCAAATGTACCGACCAGAAGCAGACTCCTTCTCAGCTAAAAATATATGCGCCCGGCAGACATCCTCCACATGTGAAATGGGTATTGAACCTGATAGCATTTGCACACCTTTCAAGGCCATATTTATGAGGAAATCATTTCCTGTAAAACAGTAAGAGATACCATCAGAACACCATGTGTATCGGAGATATAGTGCAAGTAGTAGTTCATAGTTCATTGTTCCCACTTCAAACCTGTGATTAAGGACATGGCAAGGATGTTACTGTGAGGGACGTCTGGAGTGAGAGAAGGACCGGCCATAAGAGAAGGGATCACAGTGATGAGATCAATGTTGTTCTCTTCGGCGAATTTCCAAGCTGTCTTCTCAGCTTGTGTCTTGGAGGCAAGGTACCCCTGAAAAGTCGAGAAATTTGAGAAAAGACTCTCGTTTAATCAATGTTGCTTTCCTTGGCGAATTTCTAAGCAATAGCCTCATTGTCTTAGCTTGAGCACTACATACAGAAGATAAAAGCTTAGACACAGAGGATTTGATGATTTACCCAAGTGGGTGGCTTTACAGTAGTCAAGAACTCCAAATCACTCCAATCCTTTTCGTCCATGACCAAACCTGTTCCCTCAAGTGTATTGATCGAAACTGTAGCAACTGATGATGTCAAAACAACACGCTTAACTGTTTGGGCTTTCACACACGATTTCAGAACGTTTAGTACCCCTTGGATCGCCGGTTTGATCATGTCGTTCTGCTCATTGACGGTGACATTATTAGCACAATACTTAAGCTACATGAGCTCTACAGAATGCAACATTTAATCAAGAAATTATCATAAATCCGTACCTCCGGGTCCTCTGAGGCAAAGTTGACAGGGGTTGCAACATGGAAAACAAGATCACAACCTGCTATCGGAGCGTCGAAGCTCCCTTCATCAGTCAGATCTCCTGCTAAAATCTCTAGCTCACCCAACTCTTGTAGTGCTGTGACGTGGGAGACCTTCTTCTGATTGTCTGCACCCAATTGTATCAAAAAATGAAAACCAATTCATGGCCAGCACAGTAAAACAAGAATTTTACTGATACCAAAGTTCAGGTTGTTCTAAAAATTTACCGATAACCTACAAAATTACCTAGGCCTCTTTGTAGTCCAACAGTAAATTCAGATAGGTAATTAGATCATTCTATGAACTTTTACCTTATCTTGTTACTAACACCTCTAGCCTAATGGTCATATTGGAGTCAGTCATTACATCACAAGTACGGCGTTTTGAAGTTTGAATTCTTTTTCTTCAGAAACGAGAAAAATGAGAAATTTTTTAGCGTGACGGTCCTACGCATGGAGATGGAATGAAGCTAGGTCATAGTTACACAGAACAGCCTAAACAGGCGGACTGAAAGTGGGGCAGCAGCTTGTACTGAAGTAGTTTAAAATATCGTCGGAGAAAAAAAAGAGGAAGAGAGGGAGTCTGACCTGGGTCTCTGACGGTGGTTCTGACGGCGTAGCCCTTCTGGAGCAGCAGCTTGACCAGCAGAGACGCCACGAACCCGGTGCCGCCGACGACGCAAGCCGTCTTCTTTGAGATGGGTTGTTGGGTGGCCATGGCTTCCACTTCCTCTATCAAAGTTTGAACTGGAAAGGTGGCTCGGAATTATGGGAATGGTGTTTTCTGTTTTGTGTAATGGGGGCTTTACTGGTTAAATAGACCGTGGACGCGTTGTCGCTGTTGTTGCAGAAGTTCATCTAATCCGATCGGAAGAGGACGAAGGTGAGCACGTGGTGATCTAGGCACCACAATTTGGGTCCTTCCGTCGTAAATATCGGCCCAGGTCAATGGAGTTTTTGTTTTTTGGTGAAGAGGTCAAAGGAGTATGTCGACGTAAGAGCAACTCCATCGGGACAATTATTAGGTCAATGGAGTTTTTGTTTTTTGGTGAAGAGGTCAAAGGAGTATGTCGACGTAAGAGCAACTCCATCGGGACAATTATTCCCATGGACTGGCGACTTCACCAACCCTATAGACAGAGCTGCATGCTTCAGCGCAGAGGGTGATTGGGCAGATTTTTTTGGGGGGGGGGGGGGGGGGGCGAGTGAGAGGCCCAGCTCGAATTGGTGGCCCGAGAGCTCAAGGATCAAGTGATGCAAGACTGACGTTTTGGTAACACTAACATTGGTCACGTTACAAAATTAATAAAAATATAAAATATCAATAAAAAAAAATGTAAAAAATTAATAAAAAATCCAAAAAAAAATTAAAATTAAAAAAAAACTAATAAAAAATTTATAAAATTAAAAAAGAAAAAAAATCAATTCGGACGTTTCATTCCCAAGCTTTGTCTCCACTACCACCCCACCACACTCGATCCCCGACCTTCGACCACTCCACCTCCTGCGCGTCTTCTTCTTCTTTCTCTCGGACTTTGAATTCAACGGTTTCTCATCGGAGTTTGTCGCCAAGATTGGATTTGAAAGCTTGGATTGTCTGCTTCGACGGCACTATGTCTCACAATGCACCGATGGTGCATGCAAGACCATAGTTGCGTTCCACATGCTCCATTGATTCGACATATAAGGTTTTGAGGTTAAATTACTCAAGGAAATGGTGGTGATGGTGGCTAGTTTGCCACTGTGCTAGAGAGAGAGTTTGCGGAAATGAGGGAACTCCCTGGAACCAATGCACGTTAGGTGGCTTATTCACAAGTATAGCCGTCTTGCATGTATGACAGGTGGAACTTGAAAATCTAATGACACACACACACACATACATATATATATATATATATGTTTTCTTTCCAACGAGTTCACCCAAGGAAAATGATAGGTAATATCAAGCGAACGAATCTCAGAAGAGTTTCTTCGGGAAGTTCAAGAGAATCCCTCATTCAGCTCGATTGTGTCAAACCCCAAGCTCTTACATTCCTGAGGAAATCATAACAGGACAGTGAATCAATGCCACTAATAACACCATACAAATACATACACATGGAAATTACTTGGATACAAAAAGTCGCGGAGCCACTCTAATCTACAAAAGAAGGGATCCAAGGCATAACCACTGCCCTGGCCAATCTAATCTACAAGAAAGGAGATCGACATCAATTCAAAACAGGTGATTGCACTGCCCTAGTCGCTCGAATCTCCCAAAAACGCAAAAGCACTGCCCTGGCCACTCTAATCTCCCAAAAAATAACCATTTGATTCCTGGACAAAGGAGCTTATGGATTTGAAAGAATAATTTGAAGAATGTGATTCTTCACGTAAGCGTGAAAGTTAATCTTGTAGATTAACATTATCATTCCACATAAGTACTTTGAGATTTTATTTTCTTTTCGGAGAACAATCCTGTAGATTAACTTTATCATTCCACATAAGTAAACATGTCGTAATTACTCGGTGGGAGCACCTTTTCCATAGTGCAGGATTGAAAAAGGAAAACACGAGTTTGCCGGTATAAAGGGAACCACATGTGTTTGATACATCATCATCTCGACGGTCAGAGATGATAATTGTATACCATTCTTGTGGTTCAGCAGAAAGGCAAGCATCTAATTCTCATCAGAAAGCAACAAGAAGCCGCAGTTACTTTGTTGGCGCTGCTCGATTTTATTACCATTTACCAAACTCAGCAAATTAAGATGCTTTTTAACACGAGAACAAAGAACATATGGTAAGCCAGACGATAGATAGATAGCTAGATAGCTAGATACATGCGGATTAGACACATGTTGTGATCCATATAGCAGGAGGATCATGAGCCAGTGAGACTCAGTTTTTCTAGTCATGCAGCAACCCCTTGGCCTTGAAGTACTCCACAGTTTGGTCATATATTTCTTCGATGCCATACTTAAAATCGAACCCCTCCTTGATAAGCTTCTCTGAAGAGATGATCAATTTGGCCTTGGATGGAAAATCTCCAAACCTGCAATTGCAACGGAGAATCAGAAAACCATCCAAAATTGTACACTAGCCAGTTGAGCTGGTGGTCTAAACCCTTTAAACAATCAATGCAACTTGCCTACTTTAAGTTCCAAACCTTAATCAGAATCTTCTTGGTAGAAGTACTAGTACTTAAAACTATGGAACAAAAAAAACTCGGGGTAGATAAATCTAAACACACTACTCATCATCAAAAAGAGGAATTAAGAAATCTAGGTTTTTGAATACTAGGATTACGGGCTTACTCGGTGGGGACATTGTACTGGGGGTATCTTTTGTTGAGGAACTTAGCAAGCTCAGGAACGCTGGTGTTGGCAGCACAGCAAATGTACCGACCAGAAGCAGATTCCTTCTCAGCCAAAAATATATGCGCCCGGCAGACATCCTCCACATGTGAAATGGATATCGAACCTGATAGCATTTGCATACCTTTCAAGGCCATATTTATGAGGAAATCATTTCCTGTAATACAGTAAGAGAAACCATCAGAACACCATGTGTATCGGAGATATAGTACTAGTAGTAGTTCATTGTTCTAGTTTCCGGCTTCAACCTGTGATTAAAGACATGGCAAGGCCAATACTGCTGGGGACGTCTGGAGTGAGAGAAGGACCAGCCATAAGAGAAGGGATCACAGTGATGAGGTCAATATTGTTCTCTTCAGCGAATTTCCAAGCTTCCTTCTCAGCTAGTGTCTTGGAGGCAGGGTACCCCTGAAAAGTTGAGAAATTTGAGAAAAAACTCTCGTTTAATCAATGTTGCTTTCCTTGGCGAATTTCTATAGAATAGCCCCATTGTCTTAGCTTGAGCATTACATGCAGAAGACAAAAGCTTAGACACAAAGGATTTGGTGATTTACCCAAGTGGGTGGCTTTACAGTAGTCAAGAATTCCAAATCACTCCAATCTTTTTCGTCCATGACCAAACCTGTTCCCTCAAGTGTATTGATCGAAACTGTAGCAGCTGATGATGTCAAAACAACGCGCTTAACTGTTTGGGCTTTCACACACGATTTCAGAACGTTTAGTACCCCTTGGACTGCCGGTTTGATCATGTCGTTCTGCTCATTGACAATGACATTATTAGCACAATACTTAAAGCTACATCAGCTATATAGAATGCAACATTTAATCAAGAAATTATCATAAATCCGTACCTCAGGGTCCTCTGAGGCAAAGTTGACAGGGGTTGCAACGTGGAAAACAAGATCACAACCTGCTATCGGAGCATCGAAGCTCCCTTCATCAGTTAGATCTCCTGCTAAAATCTCTAGCTCACCCAACTCTTGTAGTGCTGTGAGGTGAGAGACCTTCTTGTGATTGTCTGCACCAAATTGTATCAAAAAATAAAAACCAATTCATGGCCAGCACAGTAAAACAAGAATTTTACTGATACGAAAGTTCAGATTGTTCCCAAAATTTACTGATAACCTACAAAATTACCTAGGCCTCTTTGTAGTCCAACAGTAAATTCAGATCGGTAATCAGATCATTCTGTGAACTTTTACCTTATCTTGTTACTAACACCTATAGCCTAATGGTCATATTGGAGTCAGTCATTACATCACAAGTACGGCGTTTTGAAGTTTGAATTCTTTTTCTTCAGAAATGAGAAAAAGTAGAAATTTTTCAGTGTGACGGTCAACGCATGGAGATGGAAGGAAGCTAGGTCATAGCTACACAGAACAGCCTATGCAGGAGGACTGAAAGTCTGAAAGTGGGGCAGCAGCTTGTACTGAAGTAGTGTAAAATATCGTCGGAGAAAAAAAGGGGAAGAGGGAGTCTGACCTGGGTCTCTGACGGTGGTTCTGACGGCGTAGCCCTTCTGGAGCAGCAGCTTGACCAGCAGAGACGCCACGAACCCGGTGCCGCCGACGACGCAAGCCGTCTTCTTTGAGATGGGTTGTTGGGTGGCCATGGCTTCCACTTCCTCTATCAAAGTTTGAACTGGAAAGGTGGCTCGGAATTATGGGAATGGTGTTTTCTGTTTTGTGTAATGGGGGCTTTACTGGTTAAATAGACCGCGGAGGAGTTTTCGCTGTTTTTGCAGAAGTTCATCTAATCCGATCGGAAGAGGAAGAAGGTGAGCACGTGATGATCTAGGCACCACCAACAATTTCGGTCCTTCCGTCGTAAATATCGCCCCAGGAGTTTTTTTTTTTTTCGGTGAAGAGGTCAAAGGAGTTTTTCGACATAACAATGACAAACAACGAGAAAATTTTAATTGGGATGGAAACACGGGTACATCAAATGTTTGTATGTAAGTGGTAAAAAATTTCACTTTTTAGGTTATTAACTTTTTAACACATATATTTTACTATTTGTATAGTGACACATGATGTAACAACTCGTGTACCGATTACATTGAAAAATCTCTCAACAATGTACCATAGATTTTTCAGTGTGACTAGTAGACGAAATGATACATCACGTGTTATTATACAAATTATGGGATATGTGTGCTAAAAAGTTAATAACTTAAAAATAAAATTTATCACCACTTCTATTGAAACTCAGAATATACCACTTGTGTACCGGTCACAATTAAAAATTTCCCACAACGTACGGGAAAACCTAGAGTTCAACGAAACATGGAAACTGTGAGTGGTCATGTCCCAGGCTAAACACTGTCTGTGACTCGGTCGTTTGTGAGAGATTTTTCAATGTCATGGCATATAAAGTGGTACATCATGTGTTATTATATAAATTATAAGATATATGTGTTAAAAAGTTAATAACTTAAAAAATAAAATTTTCCATCATTTACATAAAAATACATGATACACCATCCCGTATTCTGATCACTGAAGAAAATTTCTCGCCGTTTTTCCATCTTCCAGGTTGAGATGAACTAACATTCTGAAACGTGCAATCACACTAGCAGTCCATCTTCCACTCAAAGTATCGCACCTACCCCAAAAGGGCAGGTGAAATAATGTTTTTATACTTTTTTTCTCTTAAGAAAAAATATAATTATGTTTTACACCTTTTAAATTCAGAATGATTAACAAAATGTCACAGGGTTTCATTTTTCTCGTATTCAACCTTAAAGTATTAAAATTGTATTAATTTATGTTTTTGACCTGATTGATTGTATAATATTTTATTAAATTGATAACATGGTGAACTTAAAATTCTTGGAGGATTTTCAAATGAGATGTAAAAAGTAGTAGCACCAATATTTTCAATCAAAAAACCAAATTTGATGTAATATGACATAGATTGTTAGCCCTCACTTACGGCCAAAATTGACAGTAGCTTCAAATTTTTTTAATTAATTATAAATGAATTTAATTAATTATATTTTTGGAGAGTGTTTTAAAACATTTATTATAATAATTTAATTGATGTATCAGATGGAAAGAAAAACATATGCTGTCAAATCCAAATTTTATGTTTAAATTTTGACATCTCTTTTGAAAATACTCTTAAATGGGCTAATGTGTACAATTTTAAAACTTCGTCTTACAAGGAAAGAGATAATCTCTGGATCTCTTCCACCAAGGTTATCGGATCAAGTGATCCTAATCTTCAAAATTTCATCCAACGGCAAAAAATTATCTCAGCTTTTAAGAGTCATAACAGGTGGACCGTTGAAAGAAATTTGAAAAGCTCGAATCACTTGATCCGTTGGCCTTGATGGAAAAGATTAAGAAGATCTTGTTTTGTCTTACAATGCGAGAAATTAGAACTTCATGGTCTATTTTAAAAATCAACTCAACACTGTGTAGTTTTTCTTGGAGAAGACCATATTGTTTAATGAACCACTCTGATGTTCTCGGATTTGATGCTTCGAACACGGTCTTCTCCGCACCAACGCGCCCAATGACCTTTGCGATTATGTCTGCATGCATCGAGCCAGCGTGTTTACAGACATCATCAGCGTCGTTCGTTCTCGTAACGGCCCCAGCTTCTAAGCATCTCTCAGCCCTTGTAATCAGAAGATCAACGTCTTCAACGTATTCTAAACAAAGACAACAATCTTGTTCATAAGTATATAACCAGTAAACTTACAGGTGCTCCTACTGCAGCACCATCTTTCGTGTAATATGATCAGAGCACGTGGCAAGAAGATGTTACCATCACAGTCGAAGAGCAATAGTCGGAAAGATGAATGCAAGAAGAAAAAATCATCAGTCTCAGAAAATGACTGCACAAATTTTCATCGAAGCGGAGTAATATCAGTAAACACACACTTGGGGGCACAGGGTCATCACAAACATTGGACCAACATGGTTATCCTTTCACAACTTGGTCAATTCTTATTCATGGTATCATGCAGCCTAGTGATCAAAGCGAAACACATATCGAAGTTACATACACCAGACAGATTTGATGATTTCATGCCATTAAACTGACATTCCACATTTCTTTACTTAAGGTTGAAGCCCCTTTCTTCCTCCTATTTAGTCCTTTGTGCTATCATGCTATGCTATTTGTTTGCAAAAACGAACCTACCTTCGCATAACAGCGGAACAAAAGAACGAAGAGTGGCGATTAAGTTCTTTAAGCTTGGAGCTATTAAATGCCCCAATAAGAAAATCCACAATTTCTATGCGGCTCTTCCGACAATATCTAGCTATCAAGGCGAACATATCAATCACTAATTGTTTCAGGAAAGATTGCACAGCATACCATATCGTGGGCTCGAGATAGCATAGGCTCCAAATGCTCTGTCACCTACAGGTATGTCAGACTTGTTAAACCTGATCGCAAACTGTGACTTCACTTTCAGACCACCTATCTTAATCAAGCAAACGAACCTCAGAAGAGTTTCTTCGGGAAGTTCAAGAGATCCCTCATTCAGCTCGATCGTGTCAAACCCCAAGCTCTTACATTCCTGAGGAAATCATAACAGGACAGTGAGTCAATGCCACTAATAACACCATACAAATACATATACATGGAAATTACTCAGATACAAAAACTCGCGGAGCCACTCTAATCTACAAAAGAAGGTATCCAAGGCATAAACACTGCCCTGGCCACTCTAATGTACAAGAAAGGAGATCGACATCAATTCAAAACAGGTGATTGCACTGCCCTAGTCGCTCGAATCTTCGGAAAAATTGGATCAAACTTGGGTGCAAAAACGCAAAAGCACTAGCCTAGCCACTCTAATCTCCCAAAAAATGACCATATGATTCCTGGACAAAGGAGCTTATGGATTTGAAGGAATAATTTGAAGAATGTGATTCTTCTCAGCTGTCATACACGTAAGCATCAAAGTTAATCTCCCATTCCCATTCCCGAACCGAATTGCATTGGAATGATACTCTGCTTTCCTTGCTCCCCATGGAAGGAAGCCGATATTCAAAAAGCAAAGAATAACAACAGGCATAAGTAAGAACTGTCAAGACAAGAAGCTTTTACCCAAAAACCACACCTAATTTCCCCTCCTAATCTGTCAGATAGACAGCCTCTCGTCCTCCTTCTCCTCCTCCTCCTTCAACCAACCCGGCAAAGATGGTTAAAAACATGACTCCTCTCGTCTGCGTCCCGCTCTTGATTATGGACGTCGTGGCCGGAATACTTGGGATTCAAGCTGAGATTGCTCAAAACAAGGTAATCCAGTCATTCTTCATTGCAGACAAATCACTCTTTGACACGTATGCATAAACTTCCGTTTCCTTGATTATAACGAGTTAACGATGGCACATGTAACGAGCCGAACAATGACCTAGATTTCAATAACTAATCTATAGATGGAAATTTCTTGGCATGTAAAAAACAGGTGCACCATTTGAAGATGGGGATATTTGAGTGCAAAGACGCAAGTTACCAAGCCTTCAAACTAGGGTTAGCCGCTGTTGTGATCCTAGCAGTCGCACACATAGTAGGCAACTTGCTTGGCGGATGCATCTGCATAAGGTCCAGACGAGATAACCAAGAAACCACAGCAAATAAGCAACTAGCAATTGCTTTCCTCATCTTATCATGGTAATTACAAACATTAATTAACTTTCTAATCATGATTAGCAATTCAGCACAAGTCTAAAATCTATATTCTTCAGGATAACATTGGCGGCAGCACTTTCACTGCTGATTGCCGGGACGATGTTAAACTCAAAGTCCAGAAAATCGTGCGGGTTATCGCACCGCCGGATTCTGTCGATAGGAGGGATCTTATGCTTCTTCCATGGATTGTTCATCATTGCATATTACGTCTCTGCCAAAGCCTACATCAAAGAAGGGAAACCCAAACCACAAATACACAGCAACCCAACTGGACATCCAGCTTAATTGTCAAAAAGCTCATGAATTTCCAAACAGAAATTGATTTTCGCACTCTCATTTTCTTCTTCGTCGAATCATTCCAGTTATCCTACACAAATCCGATTCTGCATTCTCCATCTACACTACAAATCCGATTCTGAACCCTCCAACTTGTAATATTTTTCAAAGTTACAAATTATATGAAGAACAGATTGGACTAGAAAATCTTATCCAGTAGATAGATTATAAAAGCACAGATCCACTTGAAAAACTGCTCAATCAACCAGAAGTTTTCAAATTTCCCAAAACACCAATTCGAAATTCATGTCAATTTTGTTTCTTGATTTGCAACCATTAAATTTAAAATTTCAAAGTGGAGATTGAATTTAATGAACAACAAATTGGACCCAGAATTTCATTGCTTTCAAGTAGATTGAATATTTAAATCGCAAAAACAACCGAAAAAGTGCAAAGCTAACCTAATCTAAACCACACTAATCTCTATTTTTACAAAAGGGAATTAATCGAAGCTCAAATTCTAGTCTTCGGCGGGGCCAGACTTGCCGGTGCCAGTTTTCTTGGGGAGGAGCGTGTTGTGGATGTTGGGCATAACGCCGCCGTTGGCGATGGTGACGGAGCCAAGCAGCTTGCTGAGCTCCTCGTCGTTCCTGACGGCCAGCTGGATGTGCCTCGGCACAATCCTCGTCTTCTTGTTGTCACGTGCCGCGTTTCCAGCCAATTCCAAAACCTAAACAAATAAAAATTTAAGAAAAATCAACTTTTATCCTACAAATCAAAGTTTTTAAAAAAGAAAAAGAGATAAAGATGCAAAATTGAAGAGCAATTAAGGTTTAGATTGAGAAATTGACCTCGGCGGCGAGGTATTCAAGGACGGCGGCGAGGTAGACAGGGGCGCCGGCGCCCACACGCTCGGCGTACTTGCCGGCTTTCAAGAACCGGGCGATACGGCCGACGGGGAACTGGAGACCGGCCTTGCTGCTCCGAGATGTGGCCTTCTTGGCGGCACCGGAGCCGATTGATTTTCCTCTTCCAGCCATGGATTCAGAGAGCGGAGGATTCAGACGAGAGAGAGAGAGAGAGAGAGAGAGAGAGAGAGTCTAAAGTATTTGCGAAGTGAATGAAGTAATGATTTAGCGGGATGAGAGGATTGGGGAGTTTCTAGGTTATATAGGGGGGTTCGCCGCTTTGGGAGAACTAGAGCCAATGAGAGGGAGTCACGCGGATCGCAATCTGTGGCCGCTTGTTTTAAAATATTTGGACGGTTGGATGGTTATGTTTAGATTCAGGTGGTTCGGTTGTGCTTCTCTATTTGTGTGGAGCGGGAAATGCAAATTTTCACTGGTATTAAATATGGATTGACCAATTTTGACCATGTGCATTTCAAATTTGTTTTTCTTTCCATGAAGGAAATATTCCACACAATTTTATATTGTATTAGTATTCCTCTTCATCTGTAAATAAGAAGTCTAAGATTCAATTCTCGTTAAGTGACAAATTTAAATCACATTGTTACTAGTCCAACCCAGCCCCTCCCACTTGAAGTTAAACAAAAAATATAAAAGTAACGTTATGGATACTAAATTTTGTCAACTACATGACATAGAAGTTAAAGATTTAATTATTATTTAAACGTTGATAAACATGCTTATTTTTTATTTGTAACACATTATTTAATTTACAAATTTAGTTTCCCTAGCATTACTCAAAATATAATGGAACTAGTCTCCCTCTCTCAAAAGTGAAACTCTTCATAAACTCTCTGGCATCTCATCTTTGTGTCACAATTCCTATGGCACCATTATAAAATTTTGTGCCAAAAAGATGAGACAGTGGAGAGTATTTTGAGCGAATTTCGTTATCCACCTTCGCTGCTCCAAGTCCCACATTCCTTCGCCATTCCTCTCTCAAATCCATTTCGAATTTGAAACAAAATCCCTATTTGCACTTCTACCTTTTACCTTCAGATACAAAAGGCAACACATTTTTATAGATTTGCTGCTCTCCCATGGCTCCCACCGGGAATCCAAATCCACCAGCCACCGCGGCCACAGCATCAACCTCAACCTTTCGACATGCACAAATCAATTAAACTCACAAACCCAGCACCTGTTATGCACAGATCTTCAAGAACATGCAAACCCCAGACTACTCGCTTGCCTTTTCTTGCTAGCATCGCTTAACATACCGCTAAATACCGAGCTTTCGCTCGGGATTAGATAACGGGACTGGAAAATATAAGTGACAATATTGTGGGATTTTTTCTTGGGGATGAATTGATCCATTTTGATTTCTCGCTTCTGAAGATGACGAGGCAGAGGAGGAGAGTGAAGGTGTGAGGTAAGGGAGAAAGATGAAAGAGTTTGGCTGTTTGTACCAGGCAGCATCTCCTAAGCATGTCAAGTACCAATTCAGCCGGTACTTGGTACTACAAGGGAAAATAGAATCAATAGATCCACTGCCTGGCCACCGGTGCAAACATTTTGGAGATAACGTAAGACCACCAAGCATGTCAAGTACCATACTACCCCGGAAGATCATATGAAAGACTCAATCAAATGACTGAATCAACTACAACTATAAGGATAATGAAGCACGTCTAACGAATTAAAATATGAATATGATTTGAACGATCTTATTTGATCATTCTCTTCTACGCTAAGATTAGTAACCGAAAACAAATGCAGCTATTCAACAAACTCAAAAGTGCCACAACATTTGTTTTCAAATGTTCGAATAACCAAAACAAGTACAAACGACGTAATGTACCTAAGATTTCAATGACACTCAGCAATATCGCTGCAGCATTATATACCCCTGCTTAACATCATCAGAGACGGCAACAATAACACCGCGGAACAATAAATACTCGAAGTAAAACAGAAGATAACACTCTGCCACAATAATAACCTCAAATAAACACATAGGAGCACACCGATGGCCAGTCATTATCCATGGAAAGATCGAATAGACAAACTAAGCAGTTAAACGCTACAGAATTCTTAATTAACATTTACTAAAACCTTAAACATGATCTTTCTAGACATCAACACAAACATCTCGACTTGCTATACCTGATCCAACATTCTAATGGCCGGATGACTTTAAAGCCTCCAGAATCACCTTCGTCTGATCTCTCATTAACTCGCTCCGCTTCACAAAAAGCTCCAATTCAGCAACGTGCAGCTTCCTCCACTTCTCCTTCAAGTCAGCTCGCTTGGACTCTCCAATCAACTCCAAACCTTGTTTCACCACACCCTCCGGTAATCCCAGCTCCCTGAAACACTTGTCAAACCCAATCACCTCACTCAAACCTTCCGAAGAGCACGGATTCAGACCCAAATCCACCTTCGTGGCCTCTTTTGAACGCTCCGGTGAGCTCAAAATATCAGCTTTTATCGAAGCCAAAGTCTTGGTATTCCTAGCCTTCCCATTAGACTTTGGCTGTTCAGACGGCTCGTTGACACCACTCGACCCTTCGCCGCTGCCGCCCCATACCTTTTTCGACAAGTCAAACACCTTCTGGTCATGAGCTTTAGTAAGATTATACTTCTTCTTCTTCACATTAGTCGCATACTTCTTCTTCAGCCGACGAATCTTAGCTTGCAATTGGGATTTGTTCACATCCACCTTCAGCGATTTCTTGATAAAGTCATGGAACGCACCCATATCGGAATACGGGTCCGCCCCTTTCTTGGTGGTATAATCAACCATGCCTTTCAAGATAATTACCTCATCCTCATCGCTCCAAATCCTCTGGAACAGCTTGGACTTCTTCGCTTCCTCCTCGACCTGGTCCGGTTCCTGCTCCACCGCAGCTCCCTTCTTCTTTGGCCGCTTTGAATCCTTAGGCTCGGTCTCGCTGGGCCGTTTGGACCCGGATTTCGCCGCCGGCGTAGCAGTAGCCGCGGGCTTTGATCTGGGCCTCTTTGTCTTCGGCGTCTCTTCCATTGGCTTCGAAGCAATCGGCTTCACCACCAAATCCTTATCCACGTCGGAACCGGAATCGTCCTCGGAACCAGAGGATGAAAACTGCGGCTTCGAATTGGCGGCAGAGGAGTCCGGCTTCTTGGGTGGTGGCTTCTTCTCGGCAACCGGTGCTGAAGACGAGGTCTTCGGAGGCAGAGGCTCTTCGGGTTCGGAATCTGACCCAGATCCGGATTCCTCTTCTTCCCCTTCTTCTTCCTCCGACGAGACTTCCTCACCTCCCGACGAAGAAGCTGCCGGCGGTTCGTCCAGCGGAGATGGGCGCTTGGGAGCCATGGAAGGAGATGGAGATTTGGGATTTTTTGGGAATTAGGGATTCGGACTGGGTAAGTGAGGGAGAGAGTGATTTTTTTTGGGTAATTTTGTGTGCGCGAAACAGCAAATAAAAGTCACTGCGCGGAAAGCTGGGGGGGTCAACGAAAGGACTTTGGAAAGTACCACTGTGTGATAGATATCGTGACCGTTGGATTTTAGCTGTTCCGTTACATTTTCTACTCGGATTGTATGATGCCCTACACAAGAGAGAATCTTAGGGTGATGAACATTGTAATCAAAGGGCAAATCATACAAGTTATGAAGCAATCTTTATTGATTTAGAATCAACATGTATTTTTTGCGGGATAGAGAGATGGTTGTATATAAGAGTTTCTCTTCGTTGATAGGCTGCTTACACAAGAGATAACTTTTTATCTAAAAATCTAAATTAAATTATTGATTTTGATAAACGTTAGGATTATCCTGTTTAGTTGTATTCATGATTATCTAGTCTTTTATTTCATGTAAATCACTGTACGTAAACATGTATATACATATATATATATATATATATGCTTAATCGTCTTAAGCATCGCTTTGTTGGCTCACTTTTGTCAAGGTCATCATGGAAACAAGAACATGGTAAACTTGAAACTGTTTCAACTTTTTATTTCTACTTAATTTCTTTATTTTCAGTCTTGTATTCAAAGTTGTGTGCTACTCCCGACCCTTGGATTGTATGATGCCCAACACAAGAGAGTACCTCTGGGTGATGAACATTGTAACCAAAGGGCAAATCATACAAGTTATGAAGCAATCTTTATTACTTTAGAATCAACACGTTTTTTTTGCGGGATAAAGAGATGATTGTATATAAGAGTTTCTCTTCGCTGATAGGCTGCTTACACAAGAGATAACTTTTATTTAAAAACCTAACATAGATAATTGAGTTTGATAAACGTTAGAATTATCCTGTTTGGTTGTATTCATGATTATCTAGTCTTTTAGTTCATGTAAATCACTGTATGTACATAAACATATATATATATATATGCTTAATCGTCTTGAGCATCGCTTTGTTGGCTCACTTTTGTCAAGGTCATCATGGAAACAAGAACATGGTAAACTTGAAACTGTTTCAACTTTTTATTTCTGCTTAATTTCCTTATTTTCAGTCTTGTATTCAAAGTTGTGTGCTATATTTGTTTTATTTTAGAATACTTTTCTTGAATCTTCTCAAGAATTCAAAACTAGCTAGGGTTTTTATACAAATTATAGTATAGATATATATGTATCGACTTCATAACTCATGTATTAGCTTCCAAGGTTGTTTCGGAACTAAGCAGATACCTCAAACCTTCCAAGGTTGTTTGGGATTGTTTCTGAAAACCAAAAGTGCTTCTGACCAAGCGTTTTCTGGGAAACTACGATGCACTCAAAATTTTAAGAAAAATCCATCATCCTTCTGATAAAAGCATTTGTACTGAAAGCTCTAATTAGGAGAAGTATTTCCTACATAAGCAACTCTAGTTAGGAGAAGTATTTCTTGCATAAGCAATTCCAAGCAGACCCTAAGCTTTGAATTTGAAAAGTTTATGTTCTTCCCATGGTATTTTAATTTTGCTTTTTATCATCTCTTCCACTGTAATATCATAAAATAAAAACTTATATCTTCTGAAGACGAATTTAACTAAGTTTCTTCATGTATAGTAAAAGCGTGGCGCCTCAACAAGTAGTGCTCCCCTTTGAAATTATCATAGAGATTTTGAGCTTGTTGACTGTGGAGTCTTTGCTGAGATTCAAGTGTGTGTGCAAACAATGGCGTTTGTTGATTCAAGACTGCAAGTTCTTTGTTAAACACAGGGATCGGACCAATTATGTACTGCCACTTTCTTATCGATACAACCAGAAAAGTCACAAGACAGTCGCTCTTTCTAAAGAAGATTTCAAGCTTAGTTGTCTTTGTGCTGGTTTTTATGTGGAGTTGAGTGTCACTTCTCAAGTTTGCCGTATTAGAAATCCTGCAACCCGCCAAGTACTTTACTTGCCTGATGCTCCCAAGGGTACGAGAACTCTGGACCTCGCTTTTAATTCGCTTACTGGCGAGTGTAAAGTGGCATCTATTTACCGGAGAAAGGCAAAGAAGACGGGTTATTTAGTAGGGCTTGAAGTTATAACTATTGGAAGGGATGAGAAATGGAGACCCTTGAAATATTCAAGCCCTAATTTACTCGAGTATGGCCAATGGTTGCTTCAACAAAGTTGTTGCGTTAAAGATAAGGTTGAATGGATTGTTCATTTACCTGAAATTATAAAACATGGACAAGATCTGTGTGTTCAAATTCAATCTCTTGAGCCGTGGAGTGAACGCATCACTAACACTGTTCTTCCCAGAGGTGTTTTCTCGGATTTGACCAAAGTTTCATTTTTTCTTTGGATTAACTGTCCGGCGGTTGTTGAGGTAGCAGACGAAGCCCTTAATATCATGGTGTTAGAAGACTTCAAGGAACACAAATGGACTCCAAACATTACTGTTCCCTTTAATTTTTTAAAGGACAACCGACATTTGAAGGATCAAATTCATTTCGTCAAAAGTTGTTCTGCAGATCAACTCCGATTTTATGCGGGGGGAGATCAACTTTATACTTACAATTTGAGGAGAAGGAGTATTGAGGATATCGAATATTCACAGATAGCGGAGGAGCAATTAGCTCGTCATTCGTCAAACCTGATGACTCTCAAGGGAATGAAACCGGAAAGGAGCAGTTAACTGATAGAGTAATTATAATTTCATGTACAATGAGAAACTTTGCATTTTTCTGTTCATCTTAGATAGTCTTAATTCTTATTATATCAGTCTTCCAAGGGAAGTTGAACCCTTTTTTTTTAACAAATAAGTTTGAACTTGTTAATTAGCTATGCCAGTTGTTACATTAATTTGCATCTTCTATAAATCAAAAATCTTGAGTTGCTTTATTACCACTTATTTTATGGTTGTACGTAGCTTGTTACGTTATTTTTACGATAGATGTTCTCCCGACTCTTGTAAAACAAAGAGCCTTGTTGGTTTAAGAGCGTCCTTTTAGCTTGTTAGAATTTTTGTTATGGTTTGGGAGCGCCACTCTAGCTTGTTTTGAATTTCTGTTACGAGGGGATAAGTTAATAGAAACAGTGAATCAAATAATTAGTCTTGTCCACCAAGTTACCAACTTTCAAAGGTTTGTGAAATTGCGATCATGGTGAATTTTTTATCTCCATTCTTGTCCACCCAACCTCCATAAGTTTGTGAAACTGCGATCATGGTGCATTTCTTATCTCATTAGTTTTATTATTCTCGGCTAATCTTATGACAAGTACTCTTGTAACTCTTAGTTGTGTATTATTTTCTTTTTAGACGAATTTCAAAGTCGCATTAGACATTTTTTTTAACCTTTTCAAGAAACCCCATAGTTTGGTGCCCTCTATTGCATTTTTGGTGTTAGGGTTTCAGTTTTATTTATTATTAATTTTGTCAGCGAGATTCCCTTGCGATCGCAAATCTCGCCTCATTTGTCTAATTAAATTGATTTCTTATTAATTGTAATTATTTAGACTTGTTATTCAAGTCAATCTCTGTATGCTATATATGTTTGTACAAATCAATTCAAGGAAAATCAATTCTACATGGTATCACCTAGGTCTAGGTTATAATCTCTCACCAGATCTCACCATCGCAAATCCCTCCAGATTCGTCTAGATTGATCTCTCGTTAATTGTAATTGCTTGTAAAGACTTGCTGTTCAAGTCAACCTCTGTTTGCTATATATATTCTACTATTACACAAATCAATTCAAGGAAAATCAATTTCTACAAAAAGATTGTAGTTGGTTCTACATATTTCTCGTATATTCATCATTTGAGTGTCATTTTCTTGATTTTACTAGCCTTGTATACGTTGTATAATATGAAAGTCCCACATCAACCAGCTTAATTTCAAAGTAATTGCAACTTGTATTAAATGGTTTCACTCATTATACGAGGTCCGGTATAATTGGTAGTGAGCCGCAAACCCATATCTTTGATATAATTCCTTCAAGGACATTCCAAATTTCCCATAGATTGTAATGCAAACCTCGTCATATTTGAATTCAGGTAAGTTCTTATCTCAACTTTTATAAGCTCTTGCTATTTACAGTCTTTTGATTCAAAGTCGTACCTTATTTAGAGTCGATCGGATCAGAAGGTTATTCTTAAACCCTAGGAATTAGGGTTTTGGTTTTAAAGCTAGGGCTTGCATAAATATAAAAACGTTGTGCTTTATTCGATTAGCTAGCTTAGAATGAACCTTTTTGTTCTATTCTGATTTGGAATTTTTTTTCTCTATCACTGTAGCTTTGTATCTCTCGTGCTCGTGCTCTCCTAGTGTCCTTAGAATAATATACGGAGACAATGATGCGTTACTACCAACGAAGACAAAGGCCGACACAAGTTTCGTCAGAGCTTCCCCTTGAAATTATCGTTGAGATTTTGAGTTGGCTTCCTGTGCTGTCTTTGCTGAGATTCAAGTGCGTGTGCAAGCAATGGTTTTTGTTGCTTCAAGACTACAAGTTCATTGCAAAACACAGAGATCGGACCTGTTACACCCTCCCACCTTCTTATCATTGCGAATGGGATAAAAAACCGTTTGCGACTGTTTGTGATGAAAATTTCATGCTTAAATGTTGTTGTTCTGGCCTGTCTTTGGAGAAGAGTACAACATCTCAAGTTTGCCGTATTAGAAATCCTGCGACCCGCAAAATGCTCTACTTGCCTGATGCACAGGTGTGTGACGCAGAATTTATGGACCTCGGTTTCAATTCACTAACTGGTGAGTGTAAAGTGTCATGTGTTTATTTCAATAGGGCACAGAAAGAGGTAGGTGTTGAAGTGATAACAGTTGGAAAGGACGAAACATGGAGACCTTTGCACAAACAAAACCAGAACTGGCTGCGACGAGGCAAAGCAGTGCTGACTCAATCTTGTTGTGGGGAAGATAAGGTTGAATGGGCTCTTCATTTACCCGAAATTATAACCGAGGGGCATGATATGTGCTTACAAATTCATTCTCTTGATCTGTGGAGTGAATGTCTCACCACTACTACTCTTCCTCAAGGAGTTTTCGTAGATTTGGAGAATCTCCGGACGTTTCTTTGGGATAATCGTCCAGCCGTTGCTGATATAGTAGGGGGAGACCTTCACATCTTGGTGTTGGTAGACTTCAAGGAACACAAATGGAGTCAAAACAAGATCATCGTTCCCATGAAAAATTTAAAGGTCGACGACACAATTTTGACGGATGAAATTGTTCTTAAACGAGTTTGTTCAAATACACTAGAGTTTCAAAGTGGAGCACAACTTGTTTCCTATGACATGGAAAAGAAGACTGTTATGGTTTTTGACAGTTTAGAGCTCTTGAAGAAACGAATAGCTCTACTTAAGTCAACCCTCGTGTCTCTCAAGGAAATGAGATCAGAGGTTAACGGAGTACAAGACTAGAGGCTTATAATTTCACTGCGCATGGGCTCCTTGTTTTGCAAAATTTCATTTTTTCTGTTCATCTTTTTATATTGTTCTAATTTGTTACAGTAAGTTTGAACTTTTTAGTCACCAGTTGTGACATAGCACTCAATGCTATGTTGGGGGAAAAACTTAGAGTACACAACTCTAGCACAAGTGTTGGAGAGACAACACAAGTAAACAAATTACTTGTATTAACTCACGAAATATTACAACACTCTCAAAGGACACTCTTAGGAAGTTATGACACTCACTCACTTTCTAGAGACAAACTCTAGAGCACTCACACTCTTACAAGACTACTTACAAGGCTTCCCACTCTCTTACTTAGCTCTTCTTAATTGATTGGTTGCTTGTTGATTTGTTGATACAAATGGTGTGGATGCCTTCTCCTTTTATAGGCATGGATGGAACCTTGGAGAAGCATGGACACACCATGCCAGAGATATCTAGATAATTCCACTAACTTCCTAAGCTAGAATTATGTACACTAATCTTGCATGTTGGTGGAAACCTTACCATTCTTCTAGACTCTTCCACCAACTTAAGAAACAACATTCTAGTCATTTCTACAAGGTACTACTTTAACTTGGATAATCTAGCTAACCAACCTTAATGAATGTTCTAGAATTCTTTATTCTAGATTTGTGTAGGTCCTTTAATGAGATGGGGTTGATTTCTTTAACACTCCCCCTCAACACCATCTCATTCTTCTCTCTACACTGGGTTGACAACGCTTCATCTTGAACACCCATTTGTATGAGATGGGTTTCACATTTCTTAGCCTTGCCACTGGATCCCAAATTTGATATTTCTTTAACGCATCGACCTCTTGTCTTAGCTTTATACCATTCAGAATTCTGTGATGCTTCTTCAAACGCCTCAGGTTCTTTTGGTGCTCCATCAGTTGTGGAGTTGATAATTCCACTTCACTAGGTCTAACTTCTTGTGGTTGTTGGTACACACCTGTTTGCCAAGGACTCTTAGGTACTTCTTGCTCGACATCGTCTCCAGCAAGCAAATCTTCAGGCTCATCTGGACTTGATTGGATTTGGGCAACTTGGTCTCCCATTTCCTCCTGCAACATATCTTCAATCTCTCTTGAGTCAAGCAACACTTCATTTTCTGAGCACCACCAAGAAGATGCTTCAGCATCCCATTCTTCATCCATAGCTAGATATGCTATGGCATTCTAATCATCTTCACTTTTCTTCTCTGAGTTGGCAACATTACTTTCTACAGGCTTTTTGAACCAGCAATCCTTCGCCATGTGGCCATTCTTTCCATAATTGTAATACTTGCCCTCAAATCTTTTATTATTCTGGGACTGACCACGGTTGCCGTGATACTTCGAAGCTCCCCCTGGCCGAGAACTCCCTCCTCATTGATGACCTTTTTCCTTGTCACCATTTCTTTTAGATCCACCACCAGCACGCTGCTTAAAGCTGCCTTTACTTTTGGTGTAGAGCCTTTCCTTCTCATCTTTTAACGAGACCCCTCCCATTTGCTTTGCCAAAGCTTCTTGATCGGCAAGCAAATTCTCGAACTCAACAAGTGATGGTTGGGTCGGCCATCCTTGTACAGCGGCAACGAAGCCTCGATATTCGGGTCTCAATCCATGGATAATTATTCTTTTTATCCTGGATTCTACAATGGCAGCACTAGGATCTAATTCAGAAATTTCACGGCAAATAGACTTTACCTTGTGGAAATACTGCGCAATCGTCATGTCCCTTTGGGCCACTGATAACAACTCGTTCTCGAGAAGCTGCAGTCTTGTATCGTTCCTCTTTGAAAAGAGTGTTGCAAAGGTGGCCCATGCTTCTTTTAGTGTCTTGGCCTTCCGTATGTGTTCTAATATGTCATCTTCAACTGTAGTTTTTAAGGCAAACATGGCCTTACCTACCTTGATCTTCCACTTCCTCAAAGCGCCACTGGTGTCTTCTTCTGGCTGCGTAACTTCATTACCGCCGACGACATCTTAAAGATCTTGGCCTTGTAGGTAAGACTCCATACACGTCGCCCACGTGTTGTAATTTTTGTTGTTCAACTTCTTAATTGCTCCAACAACTTGAAGATCTCCCATCGTGTCGGCAGAGCTTCGATAAGCCAAACAAGATTAACGAATAATCTTGCGAAGTACTAAACTTCTCACAATTGTCGGAAGCTTCAATAGAGACGATCCTTGATCGTACCGCTCTGATACCAATTGTTGGGGGAAAACCTTAGAGTACACAACTCTAGCACAAGTGTTGGAAAGACAACACAAGTAAACAAATTACTTGTATTAACTCACAAAATATTACAACATTCTCAAAGGACACTCTTAGGAAGTTATGACACTCACTCACTTTCTAAAGACAAACTCTAGAGCACTCACACTCTTACAAGACTACTTACAAGGCTTCCCACTCTCTTACTTAGCTCTTCTTAATTGATTGGTTGCTTGTTGATTTGTTGATACAAATGGTGTGGATGTCCTTCTCCTTTTATAGGCATGGATGGAATCTTGGAGAAGCATGGACACACCATGCTAGAGATATCTAGATAATTCCACTAACTTCCTAAGCTAGAATTATGTACACTAATCTTGCATGTTGGTGGAAGCCTTACTATTCTTCTAGACTCTTCCACCAACTTGAGAAACAACATTCTAGCGTTTCTACAAAGTACTACTTTAACTTGGATAATCTAGCTAACCAACCTTAGTGAATGTTCTAGAATTCTTTATTCTAGATTTGTGTAGGTCCTTTAATGAGATGGGGTTGATTTCTTTAACATGCTAAGATTTCACTACTTGTTTTGCTGAATTTTGTGGAAACATAGCTAGAGACCCTTAAATTTTCCCTTGAACTTCTTAAACGTCGGTGCACTTTTGAAGTAAAACCCATGATTTCTCCAGTACACAAGATTACATTGTTGTGTTTATTTTCATTTTTCTTTGTCGTTCGATTGGAATTACATGGTCTGGTCTTAAAGAATTTTGTTGCGCTTCTCTCTTTGAAGAGAAGTTTGAGCAATTATGAATTCACTACCGATGAGAATTTGGTTAGATTTCAAGTGTGCGTGCAAGCAATGGTGTTTGTTAATTGGTCAAGACAATGAGTTCATCACGAAAGCCAGTCTGCCAAACGAATTAAGAGTGCCTTCCTACCGATGAGAATTTCAACATTGTAAGCCGTTATGCTGGCTTATTTATGGAGAAGGGTGGTTCTTCTCAAGTTTGTCGAATCAGAAATTCTGCAACCGCCAAATACTTTTACTTGCCCGATGCACAGGAGGGTGTCATACAAATGGTTGTTTTCAGTTCACTCGCTCATAAGTGTAAAGTTTTCGATTACTTCTTTAAATTCATGAAAAGTTATAAATTGTATTGTTTTGGTGTCCTTGAAAATAAATAAACGTAAGCCTAAATCAGTAACTGGACCAAAGGCCTCCCAATATGTTTTGAGTTAGAATCCTTAAAGCATTAGGGGCTGGTGGCCTGAGTCATAAACAAATAAGGAACTTTAACGAAAATCTTCCGATACTATTTAATTTAACGAAAAATCACATTTTTACACTAAAAAGTCAATTATGGTTCTATTTAATTTACCCTTTATTTTGTCCTTATCGTTAAAACTCAAAGTTTTCAAGCCCTTTTAATTAGTTTTCCTAACAAAAAAAATCCCAAATGTAGTTAGGGACCAAAACTTGTGGGAGCTGATTGATCATTTAGCCACCAAGTTCATAAAAAAAAATTCGGACTAATGATAGGTAGATTAATTTTTTAGACCAAATTTGCAAATCATGTGGTGTGTCACCAATAAAAAATGGGCACGTTAATAAACACTTAAATAATAATTCAATTATCAACAATCATATCATATGATTTACAAAATTTGGTCTACATAATTGATCTCCCTAGCATTACTATTTTTTTCGTGATCGGTCCATTATGGTTAAACTGTACAACAACAATAACAACAACCAAACATTATCTCACTAAGTGGGGTTGTCTGTATGAAATCTAAAATGCAACTGAGCTCAATTTGGTTGAACTGTAGTTCAGAAAAAAAAAATTCAAAACCATCATCCAAACTAGATTATTCAGTCCGGTTCTATAATTGAACCAAAACTAAATAATAAGAACAAGAGTAATGCTACACTTACCATCTATTTGTATCATCACTTGTAACCTCTTTCTAGTAGAAGTATGATCCCACCAATACATGTGAGTCTCATCTTTATAAGTGTCATATTACAAATAGATGGTAAGAATAACATTTTTGTAAATAAGAACAAAAAAAATTACCGAACCGAACCGAATCAACTAGTTAACCTTAACTAAAATTCAACGAGGGCCCGGCCCAACAAAACAAAGCCAGCCAGAAACCCAACAACTCAAGCGAATGTTTTGTGTAGGTTAGAGTGGATGTGGAACTTAAATATCGGCAGGCAGCGGAGCTTATTTGAACCACTGACCGACTGAATGACAGGTGTTTGATACGAACAAGTTCTTCTCCGTTTGGTTTCAGCATCGCTTTCGCTTTCTCGGATCCACTAATCTTGTCAACAAGTTTGTGAATTTCCGATCATGGTAAATATCTGATCTCTTTAATTTAATTGCTCTAAGTTTTTCTTATTGCAATCTTATTGTGCCGGATTCAGGATTTTAATCTCGGGGCATTGTAAAAGATCAAACTTTTTTTAACAAGAAAATAATGCGAATTTTAACTGATGCATTTCGTCGAGCACGTGGTGGGGCATGTGGTTATCCGCCATGCTATGCGGCTGTCAGCTTCTGAGCGAGCTTCCGGGCATTGGAAAATTTCTGTTCAACTTTGTTCAAGACCCTTGATTGCCTCTTTAGTGTCTAGGGTTTCAATTGTTTTTATTTTTTATTTTAATTAAAACCTTGAAGGGTTGTCACCGGTTCAATTTTTTACATGTTTCTGGCAAATTAATCCAGCTCGAGCATCGCTTTCTTGTAATCCAAAGTCCGTAAACAATATATTATCTTAATGAGTATCGGAGTCGCATATGAAGGTCTTCCAGTTCTGTTTTGGATTTGTTAATTTTGTTTTTTCATTGCAGCTTTGATTAATCCCATGTTCGATACTATGGGAGTCCAACGTGTCGGTACCAAAGAAGAAGAAGTGCCGCGGCAACAATCACGAGAGCTCCCCTTTGATATTGTTGCTCAGATTTTATTGTGGCTGCCTGTGGTGTCTTTGGTGAGATTCAAGTGTGTTTGCAAGCAATGGTGTCTGTTAATTGAGGGCTACAAGTTCATAGAAAAGCATAGGGCTCAAACACGTTACAGTTTGCCACCTTGTTATCAATGCCAATGGGATAAGGAGAGAATGAAGGGAGTTGCTTCCTATGGGGATTTCGAGCTTCAGTGTGATTGTAGTGGCTTGTTTTTGGAGAAGAGTAAAACTTCTCAAGTTTGCCGTATTAGAAATCCTGCAACCCACAAAGTGCTCTACTTGCCCAAGGCACCCGAGGGTACCAGAGTAGTTCTGGACCTCGGTTTTAATTCCCTTACTGGTGAGTGTAAAGTGGCCTGTGCTTATCGCCGAGAGGACAGTTTAGTAGGTGTTGATGTTATAACAATTGGAAAGGATGAAATGTGGAGACCCTTGCTCCGCCAAAAGCTGAATTTTCTGGAACAAGGCAGATGGGTGGTAAAGCCAAATTGTTGTGAGGAAGATAAGGTTATCTGGGCTATTTATATCTCCAAAATTGTAAAAGATGAACATGATGATCATTCGTGCCTACAAATTCAGTCTCTTGATCTGTGGAGTGAATGTCTCACCACAACTACTTTGCCCCAGGGAGTTTTCCTAAATTTGAAGAATGTTCGGGCTTTTCCTTGGGATCTCTGTCTAGGCGTTGCTGAAACAGTAGGGGGAGCCATTCACATCTTGGTGTTAGAAGACTTCAAGGAACACAAATGGAGTCGAAACAAGATCATCATTCCTTTGAAAAATTTAAAGGTCGACCACACAGTTTGGACGGATCATTTAGTTCTCACACAAGCTCATTCTAGCTCACTCAGATTTCGAAATGGCCGAGGGCAAGTTCTTTCCTATGACATGGAAACTGAGGACCTTGAGGTTTTGGAACGTTCAGAATTCCTCAGGAAACGACTTGCTCTACGCAAATCAACCCTCGTGACTCTAAAGGGAATGAGACTAGGGGAGTAGACTACTAGCTAGAGCAATTACGACTTCAGTCCACATGGGTTTTTGTTTTCAAAGTTTCCCTTGTTGTTTTGTATATTGAAGCTGTTCATGTTGATCTTCAAGATTTTTGTTAAACTTCTCTCTTTCAAGAGCAATTTGAATCTTTTTTTTTTTTTTTTTCTTTTTTGTTCTAGACGAAATATTTGAACCTTTTACTTGTGCCAATTGCTACATTGATCCCAAAGTTTATATCTTTTGAACATGAAGGCGTTGTACAAATGGACGTTGTTTCAATTCACTCGCTGATGAGTGTACGTAATGGAATGTGTTTATGATCTCGATCAAGAGCAATCGAAATTTCAGGTACATTGTTCTTGTTTACAAAATTACAACGTTATATACGTTCATCTTAAGAACCAGTGTTTTCACGCATCTTTTTTTGCGGAAACAAACAATTATGTTCACGATTAATGCGCAAAAATAATGATGCTTAAATATCACTAGATTTCCTCCAAATAGCGTCCAAACGATTTGATCTCATAAACAGTCAAACAAAGCTCTTAAAAAGCCTTATACATCAAATACATTAATCCATTTTAGGGTTTTAGCCAAGCTTTGCAAGAACATCATTGAGGGAAGATACGGTTGCGGCGTAGTACTTCTCTGCTTCCGGGGTGCTCTTGATCTTTGCTGCGTAGTCCAACTGTCCCCAGACACAAAAAACAAAAGTATATGAATCAATGCAAACCAAAATCTATGTCAAGTAAAAGTCGTGCATGTGTCATTATGAACTTACGCCGTCAATGTCCTTGAAGAGCTTTCCGGTGAGTTCCTTGAGGGGCTCCTTCTCGGCTTTAGATTTGGCAGAAATGACGGTCTTGAGGTCATAACGGAGATATGAGGCTCTGAGACGAAGATCGTTCTGGACGTAAGGCCATGCCTTTTTGTCAATGTACTCCTTGACAGCTAAAATCTCCTTGGCCGACTCCTTCGCCCTCGCGGCTGCCTGAGCCGGAGTGAGTGGTTGGATGAAGAACCTCTCCTTCAATGGCAGGTCAAGGTCTCTTGCCTCATCCGAGTTTAGGGTTCCAGCTGCCACAACGATAACAAATTCACCTCCATAAGTTCCTCAACACACCCAATTAACAATTCATGCATTTCATAGTCTCAATGTTTCTGATCAAACTAAATATAATGCGTGGCAAATCCAATTCCAATGATTAATAATGCAATTAAATTAAGTGTTTTTTCAATAAGCACTTGAAATTTTATGTTCTAATAAAAACAAGACTCATGAGCAAAAGTGCTTCTTCCAGAAACAGTCTCAAAAGAGTCCTAATATATTATACCTTTATTCAGCTTCGTAAAAAGTTTCTGTATTATGTTTTAGTATTCTAATGCAATTGCCATGCTAAGACTGAAAAGTAGTGACAAGGTCAAGAGTGAAGGGCTTACCCAATCCCCCGGAGGGTGGTGGAGGGGGACCGACTTTGATGGGCTTAGCCTCAGCAAGCACAGCTTGGACAAATGACCCGGAGGCCAAACCAACCGCGACGAGACCAAGCACGGCCCTACGGCTAGTTTCAGGCTCCGAAGGCACTTGCTGGGCTCTGATGGTGAGCCCGGACCTCGCCACGGCTAGCCTGCTGGTGCTGCTGACCGTGTTCAAGCGTGACAAGCCACTTAGGTGGAGGCTGCCCTCCAAAACTGCCTGGGAGGAGCCGTGCATGCCAGCCATTGAAGCCATAGCTTGTGCCATTTCCCGAACCTTCCTAACTTTCTGAGTAGTTTTATTTGCTTTTTAACAACGACCAGTTTTCAGTGGCAGAAATGTGGAAATTATATTGTTTTGGGTGGATGATTTGTAACGACCTTATCTGCCATTTTCTGGTTGGATAAGCTGGATATGGCTTTAGCCAATGGGAGGTTGACAAGTGTTCCTTGTTGCATTTTCTATTTGACAAGCTGGATAATGTTCCAACTAGGATTGTATTATTTGTACACGTGGACTCCATGAGATTATGACAATGATGTTATTAGTCTCTAGCATAATAGCATCCATCTGAGCCTCATCACAACCGTCAACTATGAGATTTTGTTCAAGTGAAAATTTGAGAAACTCCCCTACTTTCATGATGTGATTACGACAATATTTTGAATCAATTGTGCAGTTTTTACGCATTTTAAATTCTCACACAATGTTATGCATATTTGGTTTGTTGTACTTACATATACTCGTAACATGATTTTTTTTTTTTTTCAAAAATTCTTTACAATCAAAGTCACTTCTTAGTTCTTGTTCTATTTTTGTTTATCTAGATGGAATTATGTACAAAGGATTATCTACATCTATTTGATCAATGGTTAGAGGATGAATTCTGTTTATACATATTTCATCAATCTGGAAATTACCGAGCACCAATCAACTTATACCTTCAGAGACCCACTAAAATGTTATACTGAAGCACCCTTGCTAAAGCACATGAGTTATTTTCCATTCATGTGTTAAAGCCAAATTTAATGTCTGCCAAAATAATTGAACTTTGAAAACGGATTCAATGAATTTATAGTGATACAAATCTAGGTTGTTATGTCGGAATATTGAATCCTATTCGAACAAAAAAAAAAAGGAAGAAAAAAGTTCATAAACAATTTATGAAAATTCTCCATTGAGTTTTGGTTTTCAAATAGCGATATTCAAATGCAACCTATTTACGTTTCTCTCTCAAAAATCGATTGAAGCCTCCAAATTTTACTATTTTTATTTCATGTCATTGAAAGTCTTGAATTGCAATACACGAAAAGTGAACATCAAGTACTTCGTACTTTTTAATCTTTGATTGTTTCCGTGTTGTTTTAATCTTCAGGTGTTGCTTATCTACTTTGAAACTTTATAAATTTCAATTTTATGGTAGCGTTTTCGACTTGGAATCGTGAGATGGTATAAGAATAGTGGTACTATTTAGAAATCTTTTTTACCCTACACATATTCTTCTTAATTTTTAGCTGTCGGATCAAATGATTTAAAGAAAACCAAAAGAAAAAAAATTAAAAACTGTATGTGAAACGTAAAAAGAGATGTGAAAATAACACCATCTCATAAAATTCTTCATATGTGTGGAAAACGATCGTATTAAGGGCTGGTTTGGTATTGCTGTGCTTTGAAAAAAAGCTGCTGTGAGAATAAGCGGCTGTGCTGTGAGAATAAGCGGCTGTGAAATAAAGCAGCAAAGTGTTTGGTAAACTTTTTTGTAAAAGTACTTTTGGAAAAAAAAAAAGCAGTATTATAGTGTTTGGTAAATTTTTTTGTAAAACAGCTGTGACTATGTGAAATGACCAAAAAGGGTATAATACTAGATGTGCTATTAATTTAATTTTCTTAACAAATAAAAGTGAATTACTAAATATATTTTATTTTTAGAAGAAAAATATTTATAAACTTTATCTTAAATATTAATTAGTATGACAAACTACTTTAATAGAAATATTTTAGAGTGAATAGCTAGGATTCATCAGTACAATATTGTTAATGTACTTGAAAGTAGTCTAATTAGATGCATTCATCAAACTTGCATTCATCAAACTTGAAAGTAGTACAATATTGTTAATATTGTTAATGTACGGTAGGAGAGTCGCTCTAATCAAGATATTATCGAAACTGGTGCTTAAGCAAGAATTACATTTGGGGAGAACAGTCGATGCACATAAGTTATCAGCAACACCGAGTCTTGGTTTTTCGAAATCTCCCTAACAGACTATTATTACAGTTTCAATAAAATGAGATGCTATACATTAACTTCCGTCGCTGCTGTTTCTAAAAACCAGATACAATATCATCAATTGATTCCTCCCACGAATCGGCTGCTTCAATCTGGAAAACAATTAACGATAATGTACCCGTCAGCATTACTGTTTTGCATTACAGATTATGGGGTGTCGACGCAACCATAAATACAGACCTCTTGGCAAAGATCTAAAGCAAGACGAGCTCCTACAGCCGCCTCCTCGTGGTTATCTTTCACCTCCAAGTTGATTATCAGCACACATTTCCTAAGAGCATGGTCCCGGTTGTTGAGATCTATACATTGTTGCACACGGGTCAGACAAGCAAACAAGGATGGTATCTTCAAGTTACAGATTAACTGCACAAATCTTCTTTTAGTTTTCATAAAACTAAAAGATGAACAAAAGTAGATGGTGCCAATACTTTTGAAGCTTCTGTTAGAGTTTGGACTATAAGTTCAAAGTTCAAATATAAGTCCGTATGATCCATTTGGTTTTGCGAGTTATATCAAGCAAACGATTATGAAATCAAATCCATAGAGAAATCTGATCAAAACCCAGTTAAGTTATTCAAATTCTGTTTTTTAGGCATTAGAAGAGTCTCTCCCACCTACAGTCTTCTCTGTGAAAAATATCACCACGTATAAAGCAGGCAGACTCAAGCCAACAAATTTTGGCATTCTCTCCTACCGTCCAACTCAGGTTTTAATAGTGTCCTAAAAGTTCAAAATTTTCCTGTTCAACATAAATTCTTCCACATGCTCAACTAAACAGAAACTTTCAACCATCCAGTATGTTTTTTTTTTTTTTTTTTTTTTTTTAAAAAAAAAAAATCAAAAACTCTCTTGAGGTTTAAACTTTATCTTTTCCTTGAGATTCATTAACCACAAGTTCCTAGAACCAGCATCTCTGTTGTATGTATAAGTTCTAATAATCCTAGGAACCTATAAACTCAAGGTTTCTTACTTTCTTACATTTCCCAAATGGAAAAAGAATCCATTTCAAATATCAATCGTTGTTTGTTACCATCTCCAATGATTACGTTAAGCTGAAAGAAATTGCATACCTATAACTTAAGAGCTCAAACTCTACCAGCAAGTCATATTCCAACAGCTCAACAGAAAGAGATTGCCAAGAAACAACACTACCAACACAAAGAAGAGCATTTGATTAATTGATTATCGAATGACTATGGACTATTGAAATCTAGAAGATACAAGCCAAAACTAGGAGAAGGGAGTTAAAACCAACCTTCAATAACCATGTCAAAAACCTTTTCTTCGAATGTTAACACCACATCAAAGGAACCGTCGGCAGCATTGTCCTGCCATCGCTGAGGTGCCAGTTTAACTCCCAAGTTTCTTTTAAGCATAGGCAAGATGCCATTACGCTTGTACCTGTACTTATCGTCAAGGTTACACTTTGCATAAAAAACAACACAGTTCATAACGTAAAGTACGCACATAAATTCCAATTCATACATCCCACAATACTCGAGCATTGCTACACAGAGCTACCAATCAATAGTCGTCGTCATCAACTATTCTATACTCTTCGCTAAACACCTCGAACCACAAATATCGAATTTACTCTTAAAAGCCTCAAGGGTAAGTTCATACACAAAATCTATCAGACTGCCCACTTAATTTCCAAATATTGAAGCTTTGAACCTACAATCTCAGTTGCATATATCAACAGTCTTAAAGTCCTTTTTCTTTCCTGTTAACCAATTTGCTCCTACCAAAACTTTTTGTTCGTACTATTTTCTGGATATTTATACGAATCTATTTCATCACCAAAATATCATATTCCCCAAAACCCAGAATTCGAAAAACCCAATTGAAACAAGAAAGATACATAATTTGAAAACCCCAATTGAACAAAATCGAGAGAAGAACAAGTTTAGAGGAGGAGGATACAGTTCGGGGTCTTTTCGCCGGAGATCGTCGAACATCTGCTTGTAAGGTGTGCCAAAGTCGTAAACATTGGGTTCTCTGAGGGAGGGACCAGGGAGCTTGACGTGGGCTCCGGTGCCGTACGACGCGACGTCGAAGCCCTGCCGCTTGAGGAGCGAGTGAGCCTCCATGCTCCGATTCTGGTTCGACGAACACACCATGCTCCATACCCTCATCCCTTTGCTCTTCCCACCCCTCTTTCCCTAATCTCCCCATCCCTAATTTGAAAAATCCAAACAAATAAATGAGAAGCTTACCTGGAGAAACCTGGAGAACGAGAGAACGAGTTCGCTAGTTTTTGGAACGAGAGAACGAGAGAGAGCCTGAGGTTCGGGTTATGCGAGAGAGCTCTGAGGTGAAGAGCGTGCGAGAGAGTTCTGGAAAGGTGAGAGCGTAGGTGAAGGGAAAGGGAGGGTAGTTTTGGGTTATTCATATTTCATTAATGTGTACACTGTTCACCCGTGTGTGGGTGAAAATAAGCTGTTTTTGGAAGCTGCAAATTGCAGCTTCTTGTCATCTCCTAGTTTTGGGCTTTTTTTCACCCTCAACTTTGAAACAAAGCTGTTTTTCAAAGTTTACCAAACATCAAAAATTTTCATAGCTTTTTTTCATAGTAGCTTTTTTTTTTAAGCACCTCAATCCCAAACAGGCCCTAAATAAATCAATTAACCTGGATCCTTGGACCCACAAAAACCCGACCCGGCCCAAATAATCACCATAGTCTTTTCGGAGGAGCGTGTTAATGTTTGTACCGCCAGATCCAATTTCAAAATTTTCACTCTCCTCCGTCTTCTTTCTCCTTTCTGCCAAAATCCCTAATTCGATCTCACCAATCCAAACCCCAGTTTGTGCAAATCCGAGCCTCGGCTCAACCAGATCGACGGCCAAGAACGGGACCTGATTCATGGCTTCTCGCAACCAGAACAGGGCTCCTCGGAGTCCGTTTTCGGTAAGTTTTACATTTTCATTTCATAACTTTGATGTTTTGAAAAACAGAATAAAAAATTTAAACTTGACAGTTTTGGTTTGGTTTGGGTTCGAAATTGATGGAAAATATAGGAAATCAATGTTGGGGTTTGGTTGAAAATTAATGTTTGAGTAGGAGTGTGTACAGAAGGATTTCAAATGGTGGATTTTAATTGTGGGCTTTTGTTTTGTGTAGAAAAAGAGTAGTCTTGATGAAGTTCCCTTAGACAAGCGGCGAAGAATCGAAACAAGAAAACCGGAGGTACCGAGTAGCATGGGCCGGCAACGACCGCCACTTGCTGTTGTTAAGCAAGATGCAGCAGGTACCAGCGATATAGGCAGTGTGGAGGGATCAGAGTGTGGCAATGTTGAGTTTACGAAGGAAGAAGTCGAGGCATTGTTGGTTGAGAAGTTAAAAGTGAAGAAATTTGATCATAAGGTTTATTTCTCACTCAATTGTTTTAAATAGGGCTTTTTTGTGTGCTTATTTTGAACCATGAATTGATGGTTTGTTCTGACGTTTTCTATTTGATTTTATGGCAGGGGAAAGCTGAGCAGTTAGCTGATTATAGTAAGAGGCTGAAGCTATGCATCAGATGGTTGCAGCAGGTTGAGGAAGGGCATATTCTCGAGGAGGAAAAGCTTCGGAATGCATTGGCTTCTGCTGAAAAAAAATGCTCGGATACTGGTAGTTGTTTGCTCTTTATTCATTCCATTGTCTGTTGGAGTGGCATAATTTCATAACCGGACCAATAAATTGCTTGTACGTGGTGGTATCTTAATAATATAGAGTTTTTAGTTGGAAATCTCAAGTCATTCGTCAAGTAGTATTGTGCTTCTGCTACAAATGAACCTATGTGGTTCTGTTGTGCTTGATATTTAAAAGTTTTTGTTCAGAGGAACAGGTTTGTAATATGTGTTCAATTTTTTTATTTCTTAAGAGGTGGAAATGAAAAACAAGGTCGATGAGCTCAATGCCATAAACTCAAAGCTGAGGGAAAGTATGGCTGCTTTGGAAGAGAAACTTGCAAAGGAAGAATCAGAGAAGTTGGTAAGGTTTCCAGTCATGTGGTTACACACTAATTTCGGTGATATAATTGTTACCCCTGCTTTTGTTTTTGGCTCGTGGTATTCTCGTCACATGTTTTATTTTCATCCCCTTGCTTGGCATACAGGATGCAATTGCTAGTCATAGAAGTGAAAAGGAAGCAAGGGATGTAGCTGAGAAGTTGCAAGCTTCTCTCTCACAGAAGCTTGAAATAGTGCGGGAGGAGAAATTAGTTGCAGACCAGAAGGTAGTACAGTCAGTTTTTTTCTCTTCTTTCTGCATATTACTTTTCTTTTCCCAATTCCCCTCCGGTTTATCAAAATTTGCAATTGGTATATTTCTAAAATTGTGTCGCTGCAGGTTTCTTCGTATCAGGATTTGTACAATCGAGCACAAGAGTACAACAAGAGTCTACAACAGTACAATAGCAAACTCCAAAAAGATCTTGAAACTGCCACTGAGTCTCTTAAAAGAGTTGAAGATGAGAAAAGGACTGTTCTGGAGACCCTTAGCAATTTGAGGGTTCACAATAAGGCATTGCAAGATGAGTTGGCTAAAGTAACAGTAAGTATCTGTGCAGCATTCCTTGCGTTGATGATATTTATTTTTAGTTCAAATTTTTTGTTAACTGAGAGATGGTTTATTGGGAATAATCCATTTATTCATCTGGAATTTAAGAATATATCACGTCTCTTTATTGTATGCACATTTGTGTGTAGGCTTCATTGGAAGAAACATTAAAGCAGAAGGAACTATTAGATAATGAAATCAAATGCCTTCGTGGGGAACTGCAACAAGTTAGAGATGACCGCGATCGGCATGCAAGAGAGATTCAAGATTTGAAGGATCAAGTGGTGAAGTACAAGGAAAACACTGAATTGTCGTGTGAAGAGTTGGATAGGTTGATGAGAAAATCAAAAGCCTTGGAGGTTTGTGTTACATTCTTTTTATTTTATTTTGTTTTAATTTTTTAATTTATGATTTCCTCATGTATCAAGTTTTTAATATTGTGGTGGGCATGCTTTTCCAGGAAAGAGATTCATCTCAAAAACAGGAGATAGATACATTAAAGCATGAGTTATTTGCTGCAAATGATAAACTTAAGGTAATATTAATTTAATACGAGTTTCAAAACGTTTCTTATACCTGTCAATTCATTAGTTAACCTATACTGTTTATTTTCTTTTAGATGGTCAGTCGATCCGCTTCAGAAACATTGACAGAATTTGAAGAACATAAGAGAATTGTGCAGGAGCTACAAGACCGCCTGGCTGAATCAGAGTTGCAAATACTAGAAGGAGAGAAGTTAAGGAAAAAATTACATAACACCATTCTGGTAATTTTTCAATGCTTAAAATGTTATATAATCAGCAAGATTTCTGGGTACTAATATTCTTCTTTAATAGGAATTAAAAGGTAATATCAGGGTATTCTGTCGAGTCCGCCCATTGCTGCCTGATGATGCTAATGCAACAGAAACTCCTGTGGTTTCTTATCCTACAGCAACCGAATCTCTTGGCAGAGGCGTTGACTTGGTACAAAATGGTATGAGCATGTCTAATGTTTTTTGGCTTCAATTTAATCTAGTTTAAAATCATATAGAAGTATACACCACTTTGGATCTAATTACACTAAAAATGTTTGAACTTGTAGGCCAAAAATTTAATTTTACATTTGACAAAGTGTTTCACCACGAGACTTCCCAACAAGACGTTTTTGTGGAAATATCGCAACTTGTACAAAGTGCACTTGATGGCTACAAGGTACATGTTGAATCTTGTTTATATGCTTTTAAAGGAATTACATGTTCATTAGGCTGATTTTTTTTTTTCTCGGCATTTTAAACGGTGACACTTATTTCCCCCATTATTTTGGTTTCTAAGTCCATAATCTAGCATAACTTTTGCCTTTATCAATTGGCTGTCAGGCTTTAATATTGGGTATTTTGGTTATGTATCGATCCTTTTTCTCTCATTTTAAGTATATTTTTGGATTATGTTTTTAGAATTAGAACAGCTTCTAACCTTTTGGTGAATTCTTCTACGTTTCATACAGTTAAAGACATGTACTAAATAGAATTCTGATTGTCTTTTTTCAGGTCTGCATATTTGCTTATGGTCAAACAGGTTCCGGAAAAACTTATACTATGATGGGCAAACCAGATGCTCCAGAGCAGAAAGGTTTAATACCTCGTTCACTCGAGCAAATATTCCAAACGAGTCAAGCTCTTCAGGCCCAGGGTTGGAAATACAAAATGCAGGTACTATAACTTGTTTTTTGTTTGTTTAGTTTTGCAAATTATAATGCCCTTCTAATAATATGCAGGTCTCAATGCTCGAAATATATAATGAGAACATTCGTGACTTATTATCCACTAGTCGTTCAAGCAGTGCAGACTTGTTAAAGACAGAAAATGGTGTTTGCGGAAAGCAGTACACGATAAAGCATGATGCAAATGGAAACACTTACGTTTCTGACCTGACGATCATTGACGTTTGTAGCATAAACCAAATTTCATCTCTTCTGGAACAGGCTGCACATAGCAGGTATACATTAAAATTCGAGAGTATCCATATTGGCCTTGTGATATTTTATTTGAAAGGCTGCACTTAGCAATGTTAATGTCAAGTTTTCAAAACATCAAAACTGATGTGGCTTTTCATTCTTGAATGCTATTTCTTTGGTGTCATTTTAGCGTTACATCGAATTTGCAGTACTATCAATGATATTCTTGTATGCAACTTTTGATATATGATTATGTACTTTTTTGATGCCGTCATATATGATCTCTTGATCTCTTAGGTCTGTAGGCAAGACTCATATGAATGAGCAATCTTCGAGAAGCCATTTCGTGTTTACCTTGCGTATATCTGGGATTAATGAGGTTTGTTTTCCACATGCGCTGATTTGTTCTTACTTTTAAGCAATCTTTCATTGGCTTGTTCTAAGTTTAATTACTGATATGCTTTTTAACCTTGTTAGAACACTGAACAACAAGTCCAGGGAGTCTTAAATCTTATTGACCTAGCTGGAAGTGAAAGATTGTCAAGGAGTGGCGCAACTGGAGAGCGGTTGAAGGAAACTCAGGTTCTTTCTTCTTTAAAATCCCCAATCTTTTTCTCCCGGATACATGTGAAATGTTCTCAGTTTTTATCATCGGTTAGCTAACAATGTCATTAATAATTAGGCCATTAACAAAAGTTTGTCATCGTTGAGCGACGTCATATTTGCTTTGGCGAAAAAGGAGGACCATGTTCCTTTTAGGAACTCCAAGCTGACATATCTTCTACAGGTATAGTTTAACTATCTTTGATTGTTTTACCATTATGGCAGCTTGCTTTATTCTCAAGGAATTGGAATAGTTTCATCGTTGGATGACATCTGAATGTATAAACAGCCTTGTCTGGGAGGAGATTCGAAAACGCTCATGGTTGTCAACATCTCTCCAGATTCCTCTTCAGTTGGGGAATCCCTTTGCTCTCTTCGATTCGCTGCTAGGGTCAATGCCTGCGAAATCGGGATTCCTCGAAGGCAAACGTCCATGAAGCCTGTCGATAATCGTTTAAGTTACGGCTAGCTTTCGTCATCATTTTCGTTATTCATTCGGTTTATGTCGTCCGTACGAGGGAAAGCGTGTGTTGTGTGTATAATGGAGGCGGATTTGGGGTGTGTAAGGTTTGTTTTTTTGTAGTTCTTGTGCTTCGAGGTGCTACAAAATCTGTACTTCTAAATTTGTATCCTGTCCTAAGAGATCCATATAGAATTATTGCCTTGGTAACTTGATTGATCGCTGTGATGAACGCTTATATCACAATTAATGATTAACATATTCCATCGTGGAGATTTCTTTAACTCTTTGACGTGGGATCATCTTTATATCTTCATGTTTACTTTCGTGTTATTTAGTTTTAAATGTGCATTAAATTATTCCGATGTTATGAAAGTAGTTGATGTCACACTCTATAATTGATTTGCTATAAAGAATAGCACAACTCTCTATAAGCTGTTCTAATATTTTTATTTTTTAATTTTTTGACAAAGAACAATATTCACATTCTCCCAATAAATAAACGAAAATGCAATAATTCTGTTCTTTTTCTTTATTATCGATAGATTTGGTAACATTACAAAAAAAAACCGAATTTACTCTTCTTCTACACTAAGTTTGAATTTCCCGTCTCACACTCTAGATCAATCTAAATTAATATATCACTTGAAAGCAAAGTAATTGTCAACGATGAGGATAAAGTGGGCGCAACAGCATTCATATCAATCCTAATCTTGTTTGTTTCCCAACCAGTTTTTATAAAATATCAAGCGTGTTGTTGTCAAGATGTGACAAAAAATGGAAAGGGATATTTCCGGATCTCTTTCATCAAATCCATCAAATCTACTAATTCGGGATCTTGAAATTTAATTCAACATGTTATTATAACTTTTAAAAAAGGTCTTTGTTTTTAGCCGTTAAATCAAATTTTAAAGACTCAAATTGATGGAATTGGTGGATTCGGTGGAAGGGATGCGGATAAGAAATATTAATTCCAGAGTTGTCCAAACAGGCACGGATATCCGAATTAAAAACTACAAAAGGCCACCCAACCGAGCCAAGCCAGAGAAGAAGCAGAGAAGGAAGAGAAGGAAGAGAAGGAAGAGAAGGAAGAGGAAGATGGCAAGTCAGCTACAAGAAGAGAAGCAGCTCACTAGGCCCAAAGCCATAAAAGTCGACTCTGTGGAGACTTGGGACTTGTATGTTTCCCAAGCCACCAACCAAGGCTGCCCTGTAAGTCTCCTCAACTCTCTCGATTTCCCGTTTGATTCGAGTGGTATTCTAATCTAATCTAAACTGCGTGAAAATGGGGATTCGAACTTGCACAAAAGAAGCACACCGCTCTAGCCATCTTGGCTGTTGCACGTGAACATGATTAATTTGAACACAACCTTAGAATTATGAGTTAGTTGTTGAATTGGTTTTTGGTTGGATGTGTTTGTAGATTATTGCACATTTCACTGCTTCGTGGTGCATGCCTTCGGTGGCTATGAACTCATTCTTCGAGGAGATTGCCTCAGAGTATTCGGTTGTTCTGTTTCTCACCGTTGACGTCGACGAGGTTAAGGTAATTAACCGAATTTCTTCAAACAAGTATATGTCTAATTTGTGTATGTATATGTATTATATCGAATCCGGTAAAGATATATGACAGACCCATCTTTGCATTTGATGACTGTTCTGAACTGGAACTAGCTTCCGACCTTTTGGTCCGCTGTTTTCGGGCCATATCTGCTTCGAGGTTATGGCAAACTTCACGAGTTTACGAACCATTTTTGGTGCAGACAGATGATTCAAAGAAATGGTGATAAAAGAGGACTAAAAACTCACATTCATGGGAATTTCCGTTTAGGGGTTTGAATGTTGCTTGAGTTTTTGTTTATAATTTTTCGGATATCGCTTTCACTCATGTGTGTTTTACAAATCTTTTCACTTCGAAGATAAGAAAGTTGGAAGAGTTACATGTCAAGTACTTGCAGTAATCGGACAATCAAAGAAAGGGACTAAAACCTGCTATTCACGGGGATTTCGTTGTTGTTTTAAAATGGCGTCTCCTTCTTGTGTTTTCTCAGGAGGTAGCGACTCGACTGGAGATAAAGGCGATGCCAACGTTTTTGCTGATGAGGGAAGGTGGAACGGTTGAGAAGCTCGTGGGTGCCAATCCGGAAGAGATAAGGAAAAGGATCGAGGGTTTCGTTCAGTCCATACGTGTGGACGTTGCATAGCAGCAGATTGCAGTTTGAAGTTGTGAAATAAGTGGTTGTGGTCCTTGTGGAGGGTTTTAACACACATATATGGGTGATAAGTTTTTCCTTTGGCTGCTGTACGGATGATATGTTTGTAACTTTTTGTTCCTTGTATTCTTTTTGTCTTTTGCCGCAAAACCGAGTGTAGTGATGTTGTATGATTCATACAGACGACCATACTTACTGAGATAGTCGTCATTGTTTGTATTCTTTCTGTCGCTAGTGATCAAATATGTGTCTTTGAACTTCAAAAGTTATAAACTATGCTTGGAAATGCAGTGGGAAATTCAGATGAATGTGTTAAGAAGTTGCTTTTCATTTGAGTTTTAATAGCCGCCTTATGATTTAGGGCAGTAATTTACACACTTTTGCTTTCTCCTTTACTTTCGTTGATTCTCCTTCTAACTATTTAATCAAAAGTAAAATAAGAGTGTCGTGAGAAAATGAGAGTGCGAAAATCACTTTCCACAATTTAAATCATGATAACGTTTCTTGGATAACATAGTGAATGCAAGGAGATTGTAACTCGCGAATAGAGGCATTGATTTTGCATCTGTGATCCTGTGTTTGAATTTCGCTCGACCAAATATCTGTGTCAGACCGAACCATGCCCAATTTTAGTGGGCCTTGAAATTCAGAGAACGTTAAGCCCATATTTTCCATGGGTTGGATCCAAAATTAAAAGCCCAAGTGTTTGGAACTCAAGGCCCAATGCAAAGAACCAAGGGACTAAAAAACAAAATAAAACAAAATACAAGGGTGCAAAATAAAAAAAGAAGGAACTTTTTAATGGCACGTTTTGTGGTGTCTCCATTTTTGCTCGCCTTTCCATAATTTGCAATAAAATAATATCCCTCCACCTTTTTCTTTTCCTCCCGCATATATATTTCCAACTACCGAGGTCTCATCAACCAAAATTCACTCAGAAAATTAATTTAATCAAAAAAATTAATTTCGGAATATTCCTTCCCATTGCGTTTCCCGGCCGACCACGGCGGCGCTGCCTCTGCAGGGTTCACCGCCGGAAATTCGGAATTTCCGGCAAGCATTAGAACATGGGTTCCCCGCCGCAGAATCCCAACTGGGTATTCGATTATGGTGTGATTGAGGACATTCTTGTGCCAGGCGGTGAACTTCCGTCTCTTGACCCGCCCGGTTTCTCTTGGCCGGATCATTCATTTGCCGGTCCGACCGCTCCCAGGTAGCGTATCCCCATTTTTGGTAACAAAGTTCATCTTTTTGCTGCAATTGGGTTTTCCTTGCTGTTGAATGCGAATTGGGAATCAATGTTTTTTAATTTTTTTTTCCTGGTGATTATCCAATTTATTTTAATACTGTTTTATTTGAATCGTAAATGAGGAATTTGTTGATTTCATCTCGAATTTGTAAGGAGCTGTCAATTTCTCGCTTTAATTTTGGTCAATTACCCGAACTTTTATGACTGACCAATTTCTTCCTAAACTTTAATTTCAGCTGGGTACCTCTGAAACTTTTATAATTGGTCAATTTCTTCGTGAAGTTTAATTTTATAATTCTGGATTTTGTATATTAATTATGGATCCTATTTTGTTTGATGAGTGAGATGTAATATATAATATTGCAGGACTTAATTTGATGGTTTATAATAGTCATTAACTGCTCAATTTTATTGCAAATTATGAAAAATGCTGGCCGTTTTAGTTGAATTTAATTTAATCAAAAGAGGATGCTGTAATTTGATGAGTAATGACATAGACACTGTTAAAAGTATTCCTTTTGAACATTTTCTGGCTGTACTATGTTGACCAAGATCAACTTTCTTTGTTTTGACGATGAACTCAGCCATGAACTCATTTTCGTGTTGCTGTTTTATTTCTCAGCACGGAATTTGATGACTCATTTGGAAATCCAGACATCATGAAGGAAACTGGGTTGCGAAAACGGTATGTCATTTTGTGTTTGTTTTGGAGTTTAGTTGGAATAACTTTGCTATGTAACTATCCTTCTGTTTCATTGGGATTGAATTGCGCTTATTGTTTCAATCGCAGGGCGAGGACTGGATCAAGCAGTGTGTCTGGTTCTAAAGCATGTAGAGAGAAAATGCGGCGGGATAGACTGAATGACAGGCATGCTCTAGTTCTCTAATTCTCAAAGAACTCTCCGTGTCTTTCTCATTCTTTCTTACTCGCTTTCTCATCTTGACTTTTCGCATAATCCTAAGGTTCGTGGAATTGAGTTCTATCCTTGAACCTGGAAGGCCACCCAAAACTGACAAGGTTGCTATACTGGGTGATGCTGTTCGAATGGTAACTCAGTTACGTGGGGAAGCCCTACAGCTAAAGGAGTCAAGTGCAAATCTGCAGGAGACGATAAATGAGTTGAAGGTATGTCTGTTTATTTATTATATGAGGATGCAGTTCGTGTAAGAAGTTTTGTTATCTAAACTGCTTGAATAGCTGAGTCATTGCTTTCGATAATTTTTATATATACCTTTTCTGCAGGCTGAGAAGAATGAACTTCGTGATGAGAAGCAGAGGCTGAAAGTGGAGAAGGACAACATCGAGCGTCAAATTAAAGCCTTGGGTACTCAACCAAGCTTCCTTCCTCACCCTGCTGCAATCCCAACTCCATTTTCTGCCCCGGGCCAAGTTGTTGGCGGGAAAATGATGCCCTTCGTCGGATACCCTGGAATGTCGATGTGGCAGTTCATGCCACCAGCTGCAGTTGATACCTCACAGGACCATGTTCTCCGCCCTCCTGTTGCTTGAGTTGGCAGCTTTGAATTATGTCTTACCGGTGCTCATAGAAGCCTTCAAAGTTATTTCTCGTTATTGATTATTTTGTTCCAGCTTTCGACTTTGATTGACTGCTTTGGATAAAAGTTGTAGTTCTCACCAACCATCATCAACCATTACCCCTGTAGATTGTATGATTTTCCATTTTTGACCTGTAAATTGTTCGGGATCGAAGATTTCTGTGCTATAAAATGCAAAACTTGGAGGCATTCATGACATTCTTGGTTTATTTTTAGCAATGTTATGTATCGTTGTTTGGTAGTATTTGACCTTTCTCTTGAGGATTGAGATGCTTGTGAATTTGTACGACAGGGGGTTAAGAAAGTTCCGAAGCTTGGATTCGGAGTCTAATGAAAGTAGCAACTACAAAATTTGTGTTTGATATTTTTCTTCCCTTGCCTGGGATATTGTTATTAACATGGTAGTTTGAATCCCATATAATTTCCAGATTCAAAATCTCTCCACACTTCAAGAGCCCCAAAGGTAGTCATCAGAACAGTGCTCAAAGCCATCACTATACTAACTGAGAACACAATTAGAGAAGCCCTTCCATACACTTTGATTGCTCTCTGTAGCACCACCAGTCCAAGAAGCGATGCAACGAAGCACACGATGGCGAAGATGAGTGCAGTATCTGCGTGCTCCATGCCCAGTAACAAGTACTGAAATGCCGACATGGAAGACGAGAAGAATACCATGAACGAACAAGTGGCCGCCGTTACCTGCTCCGGAATGTGAGTTTTTAATAAGCTTATTCTTGACAGTATGGAAGATTAAAATCATAAAAATGAGATGAATTAGGGTAGATTTTACCTCAGGTGCTACCCCAACTTGAAGAAGAAGAGGGCTTATAAGCATTCCACCTCCAATCCCAAAAACACCCCCCAAAATCCCTGCTAGTAGTGCCATTAATGGGAAAACTAGCTTCGATGGTCCAACATTTTGCAGGTCCTGAATATCCTACATAAAAATATGTAACAAAAAGTATAGCTTTATCAAAATCTTCGTTAAATGCAGATGTGGGCATAGCCAAGTTACTTAGGGGCATCCAAGTTCGAATCCCACTATTAGTGGTTTAGGTTAGATTAGAATATCCTTTGAATAAAATAAAATCCTGAAAATTATACCAAATCTTTAATACCTTTTGGTTTAAAGTATGAGGTTGAAGGTTCTCTTTTTTGCATAGCATCCAGGCTGTATAGATTATGGCAAGAGGGATTTGGATTGATGAGAGAGCCCAATAAGCCATTCCACAAGGCTCTATTTGTGTGATACCCTGCAAAGGATCGAAGTGTCACAGTCATAAGATTATACTTTGGAACATAATGTGTGTGAGAATCATTCCCACTTGTGCCCGATTGAAATCGAATTTTTCCGAGCATCAAACATAAAACTAATTGACAATAGCAGGAGATGTTAGGATCATTTAAACCATTATGCAATGCTTTATTTCCGCAATATAGGATTTACACTCTCAAAACGAAAGGCTAGCGTTACCTGTCCATACCGATTACCGCGGAGAAGATAGACGAGGCAGAAAGAGCACCAAACCAGAACTAAGACCCCCATTTTTGTCCATGGAATCCCTAGTTTGCAATTTCCTTTTGTCCCCAAAAGGGGTGCCTCTATTTCCTTTTGCTCCAAAATTTCACAATCATTTCTCATCCTCAACAGCTCTTCTGACTCCATTTCCCAACGCACCAACCCATTTTTGCAGCTCCTTGAGGTACACCAAGCAAGAAATAGAGCAAAGAGAATAGTAGTCAGCCACTCTGGAAAAACAAGGTTGCAAATCACTCCAAGGCTCACTCCGAGCAACATGCATGGCTCTGATAGAAGAGCTATGTCATAATCTATTAGAGTTTTGCCTCCAAATTTGGAACTTTTGATGCACAAGTTGTACATAACATTTGCAACTGACCCTCCTGTGACCATGAAAGCTGAGAGACTCGAGGCTGTTCTCAGGTCTAGGCCTGCCACTAGTGTTAGTATAGGGATGAAGAGCCCGCCACCTCCGATTCCGCCGGCACTTGATATGGAGGCGGCTATGAAGCAGAATATTCCGGCAAGGACAATGGGGGCTGAGAATTTGAGCTGGGTCTCTTGGAGCTGTGCTCTTTGGTGGCTCAGCCATTGGTAGGTCTGGTTGAGGAAGTTGTTGGTTCTGAGGGCATCTGAGATGGGTTCAGTTTGTTTTGCTTGTGAATGAGTGAAGGTGATGAGAAATATTGAAAGGAAAAGAGTTAAGCATGTGAGTTTTTGGTTGTCCATGATTTGTATACATGAGTCATCTTAGAGTAGAGTGGTTTTAAATTTATAAGGATACACGGACAGAGTGTTGAATGACATTTGTCGAAGAGAATAGAGGCAACAACATCCAAAAAGAACAATAAGAAAAGATAGTTTGTGCTTTTTCTAATGAAATTGATGTGTTCATTTCTTTGGTAAGATTGCCCAAATTTTATGAATTTAAGATAAGGTTTATTTATAGAGGACAACTTGATTCCACTGCCTGATATCTCCAAAAAAAAATCATTAAACATTGATAACTTTTATGGTTTTAATTTAGGGTATATCAGGAAGATTAAATTTATAGACTAAATTTTGTAAATCAAATGACATAGAAGTTGATAATTGAATTATTACTTAAGTGTTGACTAACATGCTTATTTATTATGGGTGACACATCAGTTTTTTGCAAATTTTGTCTACAAATTTGGTGTACCTTACATTACTCTTTTATTAACCATATTTTTTTAAAATCACTCTGCCAATAACTGATCCAAAATAAAAAATAAAAATAAAAAGATAAGATAGTTGTGCTTGTTCTATTACAATTTGATGTTTATTTAGTTGGTAAGACTATTGTTTTGAAAGGAACTTGAAGCTTATCTGTCTAAGAAAAAACAAAGAAAAATGGACCTTCAACTTTACCTCACAACCATAAGAAACTATGGTGGGGCAAATTAACGGTCACAAAAAATATGTCACCACCTCCCCATCTTTCCCTATGTTCCTGCATAACCGATGGATTGTCCAAAAGAATAAATATGAGAGACATTTTGATTAGTAGTCGATTTTTTTTTCCAGAAAAACTTACCTATATCTCTATTTCTCTCATCTGGTGAGAGATATAGGTAAAAAATAAAGGCGAGAATACAATATGTTTTATGTGAGCTTCTCTCAATTTTTAGAGTCGTTATAATTTTAGTTGTCATCAGTTAAACAAGCTACAATTGAAGCATTAAGCACATAAGACATAAAGTAGCTTCACGTGCTCCCTAACAGGTAGAAATTAAGCTGTATCTCTCTCTCTCTCTGTCTTGTTCTACCTGCATCATCACGATTCATGCGAGCACTAAGCAGCATATATATGAACTGTAGATAGTTTGCTTTCCCGGTAAGAATCCGAAGCCTAGCTAAAGAGCGTATTATTTTGCCTTTCAGTTGCATGCAGATGAACTCTCATGTGTGTATACTGTCATGAGCATATGTTCATGTGTGTGTGATTGGCCAACATCTGTCCAGAACAAATTAATATATAGAACATGCATGAGGAATTATGTCTACATTATCTCACTTGATATGATATTCAAAGGAAAAATAATTTCGATAGGAGTGCGAAAATTATAAAAAAGATAAAAAAAGATTGGATGATATATAACATTGATCACTCTAAATTAAGACCTTCCACCGTATGAGAAAAATTCGTTTAAGTTTCTCGTAACTTCCGGTAAAACACATAATTACAACCATTTAATCATCATATTTTCATATTTGTAGCTACGTAAAAAGACATGACGGTCATGATCTGCGGAGTCATGGACTACTAGCTACTAGTTAGAATTTGTTTGACACGCGCTTTTGCAGTGTTACAGTCTTGACCACTGCAATTACCGTGCATGTCAATGTGGGTTGGTCCATATGTATTTATTTTTTCTTTTCTGGAAAGTTTGTTTGTGTATTATGTGTCTGTGTCTTCACGCCCATAGCTTATCTAGTGTGTGGCAGGTAGTGCTTTTGTAGTTTTGTACCAGGATATTCTTTTTTCAGATCCACGAATAATAATAAGATGGATCAATCACATTTTACACTTTTCAAATTTAAGTACTTTGAAATGGATCATTGGATTCTAAATTCACTTTCTAATTGTTCAATTAGTTGTTGAAGATTGATTTAGGAGAAGCCGAAGCTCCAATATTAATGAAATTCTTTTTGTCAATCCATAATAATATAAATGTGGCTTACATATTAGCCTATGTATTGAATTATACACTTGCAACATCATTAATTTAAAGAACCTATATATGTTCGAATAATACGAAAATATAAATTAATATGATTCAAAAACCTTATAATATAATATGAGAAAATCAAAACTATGAAGCATTTTGAATGTCACTGTCAAAGGGCAAAAGCGGAAGTCCAGATGGCTGATAGATTAATTTGATAAACCCTAATTCCTTATGTCATGTATGCATGCTGGTATTGTTTGATTGGCAGGACTTAATTAATTAGCACCAAATCCATCGTCTAGATCTTGAACGGTTTATATGAAGAAGACCAGGACCTAAGGATATTTGCTTTTGATCGATCAAATATATATCACGCACGCGGCGGAGAATGAGTAGTGAATTTTTGCTGTTTCGGTCCTTGCCTACTTGAACCTTTCCAATTAGTCTTTTCTAATCTTGATTAGTGAAAACGGTAATGTTAAGGAATATCATCTATTTAAATTATATTTTGTACATCATATGACGTGGTTATTGATGATTGAATTATTACTTAAGTGCTAATTAATATGCTTATTTCTATTAATGACACATATAATGTGATCTTAAAAGTTGTTTACTAAGCAATCATCCTTATAATGTAGAAGGTGAAACCTGCTAGGACATTACAAGGATCTCATTTGAAAGAAAATTGTTTTGGATATGAGTAATGCTGAGGAAAACTAAATTTTTGTAAATAAAATTTGCAAACCAAATTAAATGATGTATCACATCAACAGAAAATAAACACGTTTATCAACATTTAAATAATAATTCAATATCAACCTTCATGTCATTTAGCATATAAAATTTTATTTACAAATTTAATATCCTTAGCATTTACTCTTTGGATATATAATTGATGAGTGGGCGGTCACAAGACATCGTTGTAACGGGAGCATTCTTTTTTCTTTCTCGTGATCAGTAGTTGTCAACTTTATGTTTAC